AAATGAATGGTGCCGTCCAGCAAGGCACGCTGCCTCACCTGCTCCTGAGACTCCGTGTTTTGCACTGCGCCCTTTATTTAGCCAGTGAGAGGAAAGAGAGACCCAAAGCTGTAATTCTCTGCACAGGTGCGAGGTAGTGACTCCGATAGGAATCAGATCGACTTCTGAACAGACGTGCTATAAAGGTTTTGGCAGTTTAAGGACCTTGATCACATTAAAGTGCATTCTTAGAGGCTTTAGAGCAACTTTTTGGGTCCATGAACATATCTGGCAATTTTCACATGAAGCTTTGAATGGTTTTGAATATAACATTTAAACTATATTGCGTGGCTAGCTTAATTTCTCCTCATGGAAATATTTCAGTTCAAATATTTTGTACTTGCTGGGAAAACATTTGGCATATTTTTACTGCACATAAAATTGTAATGGGTAACATTTTTAGTTTTGTTTACTAAATATACAAGGAGGTGTATGATTACTGAGGACGGATGTGCTTTGGGGGACTGAAAATAAGTGAAATGTGCTAAACAGGTAGCATTCCTTGGAGCATCGGAACATATTCTAGTTCTACTTTTTCCAGAAAACCCACATCACTGTTGCTGACTCTCTCACTGAGCAGCTGCTGATTGAGCTTCCAAAGGAGGAAGCGTAATCTGACAGCACACCCCAGTGATACCTTTTCTTAATGTAATAGGAGTCACCTTTGTAAAGCTTTATTAGCCAAATCAACCATTTCCTGTATGTGCCTCCAATTGATTCAGATCAGTTATTTGAATTGGTCTTTTTTCTTTGAGTTAAACCGGCCCACAAAATATCTCTCCAAAATTCTATTTGTACTGACACATTTTGATTCAGCAAGACTACGGTTTGATCTGGTTTTGATCTGATGACGATTTCTAGTGAATCTGTTGATGAATCAAAGGTGATTGCAGAGTATGCTGGTAGGTTAAGGCTGTCTCATTGGAAACATCTGTTGCCTGATTCACTTTCTTTCATGCAATAATGATGCCACTTAAAATGCGGTTTTTATGATTTCTTAGAAAATAAAAACAGAGTTCTCTTTATGTATAATGAGGTGTACCTTTATAGCGTAGCTAGACCTGAGGAGCTGATAATTAGGGGAAAAATTGTCTGGCTTCTTTTCAGGGAGAGATGCATCATAACTTAGGTATCGGTGTGTTTAGACACACAGGGCTGAGGAAAGTTAGCAGCAAAGGCATGGCAAGAAATCAGCTTTGATCTGGACCTTCGAGACAAGAACTTGAAATATTTGGCCCTGTTGACTTTCTTCTTTTCTCTTTGGAAAGAAACAAAATGTTGAAATAAATAGTATGGGTATAGTATGTCAGGCTTGAAAAGCTACTGTTCCCCACTTACGAAAACTGCCTTCCGGGTGAATATTTGGTACGCTCCTCTGTGTGTGTGCTCGGGCGGGGGTGCGTACCTGTCTGTCAAGGGCCAGTGTTAAAGCCCACTGGAAGCTCTCAGACAGCTTCCCTAAGTATTTCCCAGCCCCAGGCCATTGCGGATCATATTCTTTTCAGTTTGTGAAAATCAAAATGTCGACGCCCAAATAGATGAAGATGGATCTTCTCAACCAAATACAAATCAAGAAGCCCTCCACAGAGAGCTCATATTTAACAGAAAGGGACCCTGCTCTAGCTTCCACTGGGCAGTTTTCCCTCTGCACAGGGGCAGTCCATCTTATGCGTCTCCCTCAGCAGTCAGAAGCCCATGCACAGCGTTCTGTCCTTTTTGAGGAAGTCTGCAGTTGGCATTCCTTCAGTGGGTACTTAGGAATGCATGGAAGTCACTGTATAACCACAGGCTGGAAGATACCTAGTAGATCATTGAGTCCAGCCCCAACCCAATGCTGACTCTGTAGAATAGCATCGGAGGGAGACAGCCACCCAGCTGTTGCTTATACCTCCAGTGAAGGAGAGCCGGCGCCCCCTTCCTCTCCCTAGGCAGCAGCTCTTACCATTAAGAAGTCTCTGCTGCCCTTTAGCCCAGATCTGCTTCCCTGGTTCAGGTTCTGCCCTCTGGAGCAAGGGAGAATAAGGCTTGCTGTTGGCCTGCAGTTTGGAATCCAATAAGCTGGGGGTGCACCGGTCCTGGGCCTTAAGCTTCCGGGGGACGTGCCTTGCTTGTGGGCCCATCACGGGCAGAGGGCATGGAAGGAGGATGCAAGGCAGGGCACTTTCTGTGGCGCCAGTCTGTCTGTTAACCTCCCTCCTGGGTGCTAGTCCATTAACCCCCTCCCCCCAACAGTCCAGATGTGCTGGCGTAGATTAACCACATTTCGGGTTGTTCTTGCCTTTGAGGTCAAGTTGTTCAGGTGCAGTCCTAGTGGGATTTTTTTTTTTTTTTTTGGTGCTGTTTATTGTATTGCAGCACCCTGTGATTAAGGATGCTTACATTTTTTCTTTATTTTATTGAATACGCTGTGTTCTTAGCTGCCCTGAGTTCCAAAATTGGAAGAATGGTAGAATACAGAAATACTTAATGAATAAAACAGGTTTGCTCCATCTTATGCATGACGACCCTGCAGATATTTAAAGACTGCTAGCTTGTCTCCCTTTACTCCAGGGTAAAAACACCCCCGTTTTCCAGCTGTTCTCTGGAGGAGTTGGCTTCCAGGCCTGCTACCCTCCTCTAGACATGCTGTGCTTCACCCATGTCCCCCTTAATAGGTCAGTGCCTGGTACATCCTACTCCAAGGTGTCAGTGGAGAGATTAGGCGTGATGGGCCTCAGTCCCCGCCAGGCAAACAGCTGCATGACCAGCAAGGTGCCCCTTTCTTGTGAAGTTGCCGATGGAAAGGCGCAGTGCCGTGGGTGGGACCCATGGCTGGCAGAGGGACCCTGCACAGCAGCTCCTTCCCTGTGGCATGATCCTGTACTCAGGAACCTGGAGAGGGTTTTTAATGCAGAATTTCTGACAGTGAGCCAGCAGTTTGAAATGCAGTGGTTGTTTGAAGTCAAAACGTTTCCCTTTGAAGACAAACCTTACTGTGTTCTTTCTAAAAACAGTAACTACAACCCATGTATTCTAATCATGTTGAATTTACTTTTAGATGGCTATAGTGGCTGCTGTAATTTAGAGCTGCCTTTTTCATTATTTATGTTTAAATAGAAAAGATTCTTAAAAATACTTAGCAGGGGTAGAGTGTTTCGGTTGGGCATGGTCACATGTCTGCACAGACACACATCCCTTGTTAAGTATCTTTAGATTTATTTTTTTAAATGGGGAATGAAAAACAGCCTTTGAAGAATGTTTAGGGGTTTTGGGAGGTGCTCATGTGGCGGTGGAGCTGGCCTCATTTTTCCAATTCTGGATAACCTAAGGATAGAATGGCATCTCCCCGCAAAGCCAAAAACCTGCAGTGGTGTTTGCGGGGGCATCCCCGCAGTTCACCCGTCTTAACCCAGGATCTCCAGAATTGTAGGTTTGCTGGGAAGCTTCTACCGTGTCTCTTAATTCTTACAATTTTCCTGTGTCAGTAGCATCTCAGGGAGTATCAAAACCAAAGTGAGTGCAACTAATCACAGGCCTCTCATCCAAGGTGCAGTTGGGCGGGCGGGGGGGGGGTGTTCTCTGACCGTTGGAGATGGCTGGGGTTGCTTTGGTTGCAGTGGGAGGCCTGACGCTGTGTGGTGGTCGCTGCCATTCAGTGCTGCTTCTCAGGCATCTGAATCCAAGACCATGTCATTGTCCCACGTTGAATGCATTCGCTGTGAGAGAAAGTGGAGTCGTTCTGAAAGCTCTGGCTGCAGACTTGCACCCCATATCGCATTCCAGTTGTTTTACACATTGCAGGCTGCTTCGTAGATTGTGATAACAAGACCTGGCCCAGCCCTAAATGCCTGTTTCCAGTTGCTCCCCTATAAAGCCACGTCTGTGCAGTGCCTGCCCAGCCGCACTTAATTGGCGGGGGGGGGGGGACGGGGGACGGAGCATCCTCCTGGCTTTCTCTGGCATTCTGGAACCTGGAGGGTCGTCCGTTCCCAGTCTGATGTCCTCCACTTATGTTGGGCTGCAGTTCTTGGGATTCCCAGCCTGTGTGGCCAATAGCCCTGCAGACTAGGAATTAGGGAAGCAGTAGTCAAACTTGTCTGGAAGGCTTCAGGTTGAGAAAGTCTGTCCTGACTGTTTAGGCCCGACATTTCCTCACAATTATCCCATCGTGCTGTTCTCCTGAGAGAATGGGTTTCATAACTGTGTCTTTTCAAGACCCCACACTGGGTTGCATAATTAATACTGTTCAGTTGGAGAATCCAGTCCTCCAGACAGTGTCAGAATGTTTCTGTGTGGGAAAGGACAGGTAGGATCTCTTCCTTTCAGGCAGATGTATTTTTAAATGCTCCAGTTTCTTTCTGGTTGTGCGTCTTGATATATCAGCTGCTGTAACTGAACCATTTGGCTTGAGCTGTTGCAGGATGTAGATATCAAAATCAATAGGAGCTTGTTAAATTTCATGTGTTGGCTCTGACCCTGCTGGGGTGGAGGAGGATTTAAAATGTAAACAGACGTGCAGATTGTGCGGTCTTGTCAAATGAATGGATTACGAGGAATCCACACACACCTATTCCAAGAGCTGTGGGCAGATCATTTCAATATGAACAGCTTTAGGGATGGGCACTTACGCCTTCCTTTCCGTGATTGTCTCCACACTGGACATGCTGAGCTGGGGCTCTGAATTGCCCATGGAAGAAGCCATCAGCCCTCCAGAGGTGTCTGTGCATCCCAGTAGCTGAGAGGTCACAGCAGTGAGAGTACCGAGCCATGGGCTGCCCAGCTCGTGTGGAGATTGCCTGGAGAAATGTCTGCCCAGCATCTTCTTTGTGAAAGCAAAACGCCCTGGACATGTTCGATGAATCGAGCTCTCTGCCTGTGAAGTAGGCATACTAGTGGGTTCAGTTTTGCCTGTCTGCCAAATAGCCCCACCAGTCTGCCGGCCGGGACTGCATGCATTAACTGGTACCCCCTCTTCTCTTTAGCTGCCTTTCCTCATCGGCTGAATCTCTTTTACCTGGCCAACGATGTCATACAGAACTGCAAGAGGAAAAATGCAATTGTGTTCCGGGACACATTTGCTGAAGTGCTTCCTGAAGCTGCAGCTCTGGTGAAGTAAGTTATTAATCCTCCACATTGCAGAGTGGTGTGTTTTTCATTTGTTTGCCCGCTTTTCTCCTTCCAGGCCAAGCAGATTGGTGCAGGCTGGCTGAATGTGTCCCTCAGCCTTCGGGAGAAAGATTCTTAAAGCTGCTTTCCCCAGCCTGGCAGCTCCTGGGTGTTGGACTGCAGCCTGCGTCCTCTAGCCACCATTGCTCTCGCTGGCTGGGAAGAAGAGGAGGTTGCAGTCTGGAGTCCAAAATCTCTGGAAGGCACCGGGTGGGAGACAGAGGGTCTTGGTTGCTCTGGCCCGCTTTGCTCTCTGGTGTGCTGTGATGAGGTGGGGGCCAGAGGTCAGACATCTCTTTCCCCCGCGTTCTGAAGGCTGGTGCTGGGATGAGCTGTGAGGCTTGTGTTAGTTAGTTAGTTAGTTAGTTAGTTAGTTAGTTAGTTAGAACATTTCTGTGCCGCCCCCATCGCAACAAAGCCTCGGGACGGCTCACAAAGAATACATAAAAACATACATAAATAATAGTAGTGTAACAATTTAAAAGAAAAAAAACATTTAAAAACCCCCGGTGCATTCTCGGCTAATTTTAAAATCCAATTAATTCAATAATTTAGCAATTAAAATAAGTTTTAAATAAAAGGTCTTAGCCTGGCGCCGAAAACAAATAACGATGGCGCCAGGCAGACCCCTCCGGGGAGCCACCACAGAGAAAGCCCCCCTCCGGGTACTCACCCTCCTAACATCATTCACAGAGGGCTCCCGGAGAAGGGCATCCGCCGCCGATCTCAAGGGGTGGGAGGGCACACATGGGCACAGGCGTTCCCCCAGATTCCAGGTCCCAAGCCGCCCAGGGCTCCACAGGTCATAACCAACACCCTGAATTGGGACCGGACCCCAACCGGGAGCCAGCGGAGCTGACAGAGAACCGGGGCTACACGAGAACAATGCCCAGTCCCCGCCAGCAACCCGGCACCTCCATTCCGCACCAACCGAGGTATCCGGACCGTCCTCAAGGGCAGCCCCACGTAGAGCGCGCCACAGAAATCCAGTCGGGAAGCCACCAGCACGTGCGTCACTGTCGCCAGGCAGTCTTAACCTTGCCCGGCCTGAAGGCGCCAGCACCAGTGCATCGCGCCCTCCGCCTGGGGTGCTGCGCAAGGGCTGTGCTGTGTGGGGCTCCTGCCAAGGGCCCTGCAGCTGCAGCTGGCGCTTCCTGACCTTCCCGGCTTCTGTGGCAGGGGTCAAAGCAGGCCTTCGCTTGCAGATGGGTCCTTTAGGAGAGCTGCGTGTCTCCAGTGAGCCAGCCTGTTTTTCCTCCTGTTCTGCTTCAGCCTTGGCGGGCAGCAGTGGTATTCATGAGGCCTCACGGTGGGGCTCAGTCTTACCAGGAGCTACATAGTTGGTACCGTCTCCTGGCTTTTGGTTGCTTGCGAAGCATCATCCGAGTTCTGCACTTCCGTTATCCTGAGATAAGACCATGTGGCCACATTTTATGTCTGAATGGATTTGGCAGGCATAAGGAGACCTCTCTTGCGGTCCCACAGAATGGATGGTGGCTTTCCTCAGCCTCACCAGATTCTTGGACTTTGTCCCCATCAGCACAAGCCAGGCTAACCAGTGGTCAGGAAAGCAGGATTTTGTAATCCAAAAATCGGGATGGTACCGGGTCAGAGGAGGTGGTTGTTCCCTGGCCTGGAAAGATCCTACGGATGTTCTTGGCTTTGCTCAGGAAAATGTTCAGCCTTACCGAACAGCTTGGCGTGCTCTTGGCAAGAGCAGCTGCCTCTCCCAGCGGAGCTTTACATTTCCTCAAAACTTGTGGTGTGCTACAACCTAAAAAGGGCGACAGTAGCCATATTCACAAAGAGCTAATTCATTCTTTCGTTTTTAGTTTTTTGATATATCCTGTCTCTTTTCCTGCAAAGGACCCAGGACAGCTGGCACAATCTGTCTCCTTCTCTCCATGTATCCTCACAAGCAACCTTGTGAGGGTAGGTGAGGCTGAGAGAGAGTGGCTGGCCTGATGCCCACCCCGTGGGTGAGTGGGGACTAGAGTCCCTGGCCTCTCTAGCCTCTGTCCAGCACTCCGACCTTCCTGTGGAAGGGAGAAGAGCACTTCTCCGGATGGCGATGGCCATTCATAATTCTCGCAGGAACTTATATTCTAAAGTTAGGAGCTGAGTGTTTCTCCGCGTTCTTTTTAAAACCATTTCAGTTGGTGTTTGTTTGTTTGTTTGTTTTGGAGAGGGGGTTGTCATATTGAAACTTGGGAAGAGCCGTTTGGAAATACATGGGAGTCGGTGAGGTGCAACACTTCCTGCTATGTTCATCGTGATTTTCCCTGGACCTCTTGGTGGCAACAACAAATCTCTGTTTCTGTGTATCATTTGCAGGGATCAGTCTGTCTCCAAATCTATAGAACGGATTTTTAAAATCTGGGAAGATAGAAACGTGTATCCAGAGGAAACCATTGCATTGCTCAAAGAAGCGTTAAGTAAGTCCTCTTTTCATATCTGTGTACTTATGGGGTGTGTGTGTATGAAAGAGAGAAAGCACACATGCTCAATCTCAGACCTACATTTTATCCTTTGACATGAACTCAGCCGCCCCACTTGGTGCCATCCAGATGTGTTGGAATCCAGCCTGCATTATTCCCCTGCAGGCAGGGGATAATGGGGGTTGTGGTCCAACACATCTGGGAAACAGCTATGCACCCATGTGCTGCTTTCTCTCTATATTTGCTAATGCGCAGTAGTCAGCGGATGAACCTGGGCTGTTGTTCTAAGGAGATTTCTGGACTCTGCAGTGGTTCACTGGAGTTCTGCTGCTTGACTGCTAAGGCCTCCTGTGTGAGGGGACGTGCCTTGCAAGAGAAGGTAAATGTGAGGGACAGGGTCCCACAGTTTCCCCATTTTGTGCCTGGGACGACAAAGGAAAACAAGGTAAACAAAGAAGTGCAAAATGTTTGTTTCCTGCCACTCTCCTGTGTCCTACATTTTAGCTAGCTTAGTGGCTCACACAGGATTAAACAAGCACTGCTTCTGAGACTGCTGGTAACTAAGATTGTGCCAGCCGCTGGCGTGTGGAAAGGAAGGTCAAGCCCAGGGCTCACACAGGTGAATGCTGCAACTGGGGGGCTCTCTTGTGAGAAGTGTCTGTGTTCTGAAACGGTCTGTTGGAGTATACCTTGAATGTGACAAGGCTTTTAGCTCTGCAAAGCAACAAGCCTCCCTTTGGTGTTCCTGAATCCATGGCAAGTGTGCCAAACTATGGAAGTGTAAGGGATCCTGCTTTCTCTACTGCAGCAGGAATGCTCTTTTGTCCAAACTTCAGTGTGTTGGTCCACAGAATGGACTTTTTATTCAGATGCCACACAAGGGAATTGAAAAGGCTTTCTAATTTGGAGAGTTGGTGGTGCTCTGCTCTACTCCGCTTGTAGTGCCAGCATTAGATTACTGTCCCAATCTATAAATTCCTCTTGTGGCAGCAGGGTGGGCTGGTCTCTGCACAGTTGCCCGGTTGCTAGTGGGTTTAGTGGGCCAAGGTAGTACAAATTTATTTCCATGCACATGGTTAGAAACAAGTCTCAAGTGGGCCATTTAAGCCACTAAGTTAACATGGACATGTGGCTCCCTGTCTGCTCTCTTAAGCCAGATGAAAGTGGCTTAAACGATGGCCTGCACACTCTGTGCTTAACTCTGTTCCTTGAGATTGCCAATTTCATTCTTGTTCTTAAAGCCTGAACAGAATCCCAGCAGCAGAGGGGTGCCTTAAAGAAACATTTCTGAATTGTAAGCTCAGTTTGGATTTAGGTGCCCTGCTGCTTGCTTGCCAAACATTTGCCAGGTGCACCTTCAAGCCGATTTCTTTTGATCTCTCTCACTGTGATGAGAGGGAGAGAGAGAATCCCATAATATCCGACTGCAAAACGAAAACACCAAAAAATGAACATGTTTTCCAGGTTCCACTTTCAAAACTCAGAAGCAGCAGAAAGAAACTCAGAGCAAGCAATCAACTAAGTCATGGAAGAAATCTCAAAGTAAGGAAATCCCACATGGGAACTGTCTGAACTTGCTGTATTTAAACTCCTTTGAGGAACAGAGCAGCCCAAGATCCCCACCCCAAAAACCTTTTGCCTAAGAACCTCGAAGCTCCCGGGGGCTTGTCTCCAGGCTTGCAGTGTCCTTTTCTAAATGTGCAAAGAGAGCCACCGCGTAACTAGATGCAGCCTGCTTGAGAATGTCTACGTGAGCCGAAGGTGCGCAAACATGAGAGGTGGTGTTACTGGCGTTAAGGCCCTCGAGAGAGGAGAACCAGCAGGCCTGAGCAGTGAGTGCCAGGGCTGAACGGAAGCCTGGCATGTAAGCCTTGAAGCCGAGGACACACACCCGTCAGCGGCAGGGCAGAGAATCAAGCAGGCCACCCTTCTGCTTAGTTCAGGGAGCAGGTGAGAGAGCGTGCATGCAGGAGCACAGATGAACACACTGGCTTTGGCCTTCTCGGGGGAGCAGCTGATCTGGACCGTCTGGGCCGAGTGCGAGTCCCTAGCGCAGCCGTGATGGACACAGTAAAGTCATCCATGGCTAAGAGGAGATGGTGGTGGAACATCAGGCGGGAAAGGCTTCTGTTGTCCTGATTCAGGTGGCGATGAGGAGCAGGACTCAGATCCGCCAGGGAAGCCACTTGGCCTCAGGCTGAAGGCCCTGGCTGCTGCCCACCGCCTTGGGTTGCTCTGCGAGGAAAAGAAGCCCAGTGAAGGCTGTCAAGCAGCTTTTCCCAGCCTGGCACCTTCCTTTCGGACAACCTTTCCCTTCAACCCCAGCCAGCAGGGCCATCGGCCAGACTGGCCGGGCATGATGGGAGCTGTAATCCCACGCATATGGAAGGCACCAGGAGGTGAAACTCCTTGATTATTCAGTCCCACAAGAGCAGTAATTCCCAAACGATGGGTCACAAATTTACATCTGGCAGTAGAATACATGCGAGCTATGAGAGGCTCTTGTGAGCCTGAAGGGCCCATCTGCCTGCGTGGCCTCTTAGAAATCCACCCGAGGGAGGGCAGTTCTGCCCTGCTTCTTCCTCGGGTTGCCATTGGGCCGCCGGCGGTTCCTAAGGCAGCGATAAGCAAAGTGCCCTGATCTTGTAGGATGCTGCCTCTTGCATTTCTGTATGAGTCAGCGCGAGTTTATTTTTTCTTCTTAGAACTGCACTGCGTGCAGAGACAAAGCAGGATTGAATTGTGTGAGGTGGAGGCTAAGATAGAGTCTGAGCTTTCAAAGATCTGTCGGGAAAGTCGGTCCTACAGGAGAAGGCAGTGTGGCATTGGCAGGGTGTGCGAAATGGCCACGCGAAGATGAAGCGGAGGGTGGGACGTCTGTTCGCACTTCTCACGTTATGGACCCCCGGCAAGGCGCGCGCAGCCCTTCCTGCCTCTTCCCTCATAGAGCATGTGTCACATCAGATCCCTGCACGGGACTGGCAGGGTGGGGCATTCTCTTCCAAAAGCTTGCCGCTGTTTGGGGTGTGCGGTTTGGAATGAGCACCTTTCTAAATGCATTGGTCCTTCTTTCCTGCAGCCTCTACAAATCCGAAAGCTGCTTTGAAGTCCAAGATCGTTGCAGAATTCCGAGTAAGTCCAGTCACCGGGCCGTGCATACCCGTCTGCTTCCCACAGCTTAAACTTGACATGTGTTTGGCTTCTGAAGCTCACGCAGCCTTAGAATTAGACCCTCTCTTTACAGAGATCCAGACCTGTCCCAGTCCCTGAATAACCCCGGAGGAGTTTTCCTGCATCCAGTTTGGTAGCAGCATTGTGGGACTGAGCTTACAGCCGCCGCCACCTTCCAGTGTGTGCACATAGGGATGCTATCGCATGACGCGGCTTTGGTGGGCCAGCCGGTTGTTGAGCGGGGGAAGCTACTGTAGGAAAAGAGCCAGGCCAGACATGCGCGCACACCCATTTCCCGTGCACAGACAAGATTCTGATCCCTGTCTGGAGTGTTCAGAGTGTTCTGTGCTGCATCCCTCTTTTCTCTTGCCTGCGTCCAGCCTCTGCAGCGCTTGCTTTTGCAAATGAACCGCTTCCTTGTTGTGACATATGCTGAACGTTTTCTCTCCTGCAGCCGCAGTCCCTCGTCGACGAACTTCTGTTCTACAAACGTTCCGAGGACCAGATAGAACTGAAGGAGAAACAGCTCTCCACCATGAGGGTGGATGTGTGCAGCACTGAGACACTGAAATGCTTAAAAGGTATGGCTGAACAGAGGATGCCCCTGATTTTTCGCAGCGAAAGAAAATGGAGAGGTATCAGGAAGAGAGTCCCAGGTCACACGTGCTTTTCTGTCCAGCTGAACTCTTTGAAGGGGCTACCTTCAAAAGGTGCTCTAAAAGGCAACAGTGCAGAATTGGTTGAGGCTGTGTGGGTCTTAACACACAGTTCCCTTGTAAAGTTAGCCAAGTTGTTGGGCGTCAGTACATCTCCTGGTTAATTATGCACCGTGCAAAATAGTCCCTTTTACCACTCAGCTTCATAAATGACTCTGAGAGTGACTATGATGAGAGAAGAGGAGGAGCCCTGTCAAAGGGCCGCCTTCAACATGTTTAAAAATAACTAATTAGACATTAGCCATGCTGGCTCCTTTTATAGCTGGAAGAAATGTCTGGCAACATCTAGAAATATTTCAATTTTTAACTGAATTGAAAATTGAATTCAAGTCCAGCAGATCACCAGAACAAGCTGGATTTGTTCTCTCCAAGGGGGATTCTTGTTTTGTCCCTTTAGCAAAAACAAGAGAAGACTGCTGGGTCACTCTCCTCCCTTCCCATCTAGAGAGCATTTAGGTCTGCCTCTAGGTTGAGAATTAGGTTTTGGGCTCTTCTCATGCATTCACTCTTAAATAGTCTCTCTCCCTTTCAGACAAAACTGGAGGGAAAAAATTCTCCAAAGAGTTTGAGGAAGCTAGTGCCAAGCTTGAAGAATTTGTCAACAGCTTGGACAAGCAAGTGAAAAGTGGTCCTTCCTTGACAGAAATACTCGAGAATGCTGGGATATTCTATGAAGCACAGTATAAGGAAGTGAAGGTGGTGGCAAACGTAAGTACCAAAGGACTCCCTTTCAGGAAGGAGGGAATGCACAACCAGGGTGGCCCCAGGAGATCTGCTGGGCAGCACCAGGGGGAAATGCACATATGTGTCCACAGACACAGGCAAACCTGAACGTGCAAGGGATTGCCTTGCTTGTGTCAGCCGCGGGGCCTGCCAAACCGCCACAAGAGGCTTGGCGGGCTGCATGCTCTGCTGTCCTGGCAGCTGAGGAGGCGAGTGTTTTAGGTGGGCGAGGCACAGAGGAGGAGCCCTTAACTGGCCAGAGGAGGGACACCTCGCCCCCGTGGTCGTGCCAGGAGAGGCACACGTGCCCACGCAGTCTTGCATGCGCCCTGCTCCCGCCTTTCCTCACAGCCTGGGCGAGCCCCTCCACTGGAGCACCTCCCCATCTCCCGGTGCTCTGCTCAGCTGGCTGTTTTTTCCGGCCAGCTGGCTGGATGCCCTAGTTCCGCTCGGAAGGGAACTCCACCAGGAAAGAGCAGCTGGCAAGAACCCCCACTCCGGCAGCCCCCAGGGCAACTAGTCTTGTGCCCTCAGCCGAGTCAGACTGCAGCCATGCCGAAACGGGTCCCTCTCTTCCCGCTGCTTCCATGGGAATGAAACTTGGACACATGCGGACTGCACCCAGGCAGGTTGCTAGCCCTCACGATACGGCCCGCAATAACTCCTCGTCTTTACTGCTGCATTCTGTCGTTGCACTTGTGGCTTCGCAGAGCTCTCAGCCTCATTCGCACTCACCTTGTTTCCCAGCTGGATTATTTTCCTCAGTGGCGAGCTGCCCTCGTGGCCACTCTAGGCGGTTGGGGCTCGGCGTGGAATGCTTTGCCTCAGGCAGTGCTGCTTTTTTGCACCTGGCCTTTCCAGATTTTTGACATCGTCTGGGTCCCCTGGAGAATGCAGGGCCCCCTTGCAGTTCCTGGAGGGGTGACAGTTGGGTGCAAGGGTAGACGGCATGGGCCAGGGAGGGGGACATGCCACTGCCCCTTCTTCCCCACTTCTGGGCAGTCTGGGGAGACCTGTTGAGCAGATCGGGCGTTAGCTTAGAGCAGTCCATTGTGGTTGCTGCTTGCAAGCGTAATTATGAGGGGCTGTTGTTGTCTTGGTGTGAGCGCTGCTCACTTCTACTTGCTTTCCTTACTTAGGCATACAAAACATTTGCCAATAGAGTGAACAACCTCAAGAAGAAGCTGGATCAGCTAAAGGCAACCCTTCCTGACCCCGAGGAGTCCCCTGTCCCTTCACCAAGCATGGACGCTCCATCTCCAACAGGGTCCGAGTCTCCCTTCCCAGGGATGGGGGAAGAGGACCGGTCTCCTGCACCGGACGCAGAGCGGGAGAAGTCTCCTGAGCCCGCAACAGACAACCGGGACGTGGAGGACATGGAGTTGTCCGATGTGGAAGACGACGCCCCAAAGATCATCGGTACGTTGCTGGAGAGAAGCAGTCCGTGACGCTTCGGTTTAGCAGAGCATGTTGGCAGGATGAAAGGTCGCCCGCACTGCCCCACTGCAAGTTGGAGGGGGAGGGGAGGGGGCACCCAGCAAATGAAGACCCCCGTTGTCTGTGGGACAGGGCCCAGTCCAGCCCAAGGTGCGAATGCTCCCTTTTTGGGAGGACTCGGACACGCAGCGCACGCGGCGTAGGTCAGCGAGAGGCTGGTGGGTGGCTTCCATGGCCGCGTTCCTGGTCCTCTGGAAGGGGCGTGGTGCACCGCGCATGCCACCCGCCTCCCGCTCGTGCCGACGCACTTACCCGCTCCTCCTCCCCCTCCTCCTCCTCCTCCAGGCAGACCCTGCCCACCCCAGAGAGCGCGATGGCGCTGCTTCCAGCAAGGAAACCCTGGCAGCCGCCCTCCCTGACCTGGTGCCTGTCGGGTTGCGGCTCCCGTGACCCCCACCCTGTGCACCATTCCCCTTCGATGGCCTGGGGGGCAGCTGTTTCCAGCCACACAGGTGGCTGTGCGCTCTCTGGTTGGTGGGGGGACCGTGGGCTGTGCTGGCTGGAGAGGCGGAGAGCTGCAGTCCAGCGGATCACCGCTGCCCTGGGCTGGGCAAGGCTCCCGGGGAGGGGAACAGCAGCAGGGGCGGCGCCTGCTCGAGTGAGCGTGGGCAGCAGAGAAGCTAGTGAGCAGGCCGCCTGCACATCGGGACCAGTGCACCCCTGCCTAGCGCCCCCCGTAGTCCCTTTGCAGCGACCGTGCTCGGACCCCAAGGTTAGACCCTTATATGAGCTGTCGGGCAAAGCCCTGCCCTCCCCTGCCTGGCCCGCCACGCGGCACACGGAGTCCCGCTCGAACTGCTGTGTTGTTGCGTGTGGGGAAAGGCTGCGGCCGTTCCAGTGTGGATTCGGTAGGCATTGCTGCAGCCACAGCTCGCTTGACTCCGATGTGCAGCTTAGCCACGGGCAACTCACAGTCCAGCCTCCCCGTCCGCTTTAGCCCTCGCTGAAGCATTTAAATGTGGCATATGGCACTGGGTCATTTTGCTGAACCGTAATTGAGGTGTTTTCTGCTGGCATTGTGGTCTGGGGGTCCCGGATGGGATTTGAAAATGAAAAAGTGCTGATCTTGACTCACGCCAGCGAAGAAATGGAGACCCCTCTTGTGCTTACACTCCGAGATGCTCTGCTGCTCCCCGGAGTAGCTCAGTAGCGATACGGAATAACTCATTTCCTCTCTGCTGCCTCTGTCTTTGCATTAGTGGAAGAGAGGAAGGAAAAACCGGCTGCTCTGGCCACAGCTTCCACCAAGATGCCTGAAAGCGTCCCCAAAATGTCATCTCCTCCACCTGCAGCAGCTGGTCCGGCAACCCCTGCAAGCGCGGTGACATTGGCTCCAAACCCCATCACCCCTCCGCCCCCCAAGCCAGCCAACCCTACGCCGCTTCCCCAGTCGCCAGCACTCGTGCTGCCAAACCTCGCCAACGTCGATTTGGCCAAGATCAGTTCCATTCTCAGCAGCTTGACCTCAGTTATGAAGAACACAGGTGAGAAGTGACCTTTCCAAGGTGCTTACAACTTTGGACTGATTCTTGGGTGTTCACATTGCAAGAGGAAGTCCCGGTCTTGAAGGGCTGTTTCAGACAGGTGGAGGAGTTGTAGTAATTGTGGAAATTTGCATTTGTTCTCTTTGTGTAATTTATTTCTCCCACTTTTACTTTTTTGTATAATCCTGCTTTTGCTAGTTATGGACTAGAAATCTTATGCAGTCACACATCAGGGACCAGAGGTCTCCACAGGTGTTGCCCACCTACTTCTTAAAGCGTGGTTTTGCACCCATGGGACTTAAAAACTTGGGACTTCTGAAGAATCAAAGCCAACATTCTGAGGAAGCTGGTTTCTGCCACCAGAACCGCAGCTTTGGTTTTCTGTGCCTCCAGACCCTCTGACTGTAGGGACATTCCTTAAAAATGTCAGTGCATTCTCCTTCCCAGAATCTCCTCCTGCCTACCTGCCTTCTATTCTTGTTTTTCCCTAGTTATCAGCCTTCAGCGGTGTGCTAAACTTTGCTCTCCTATCCGAAGTCTCTGATGTGTTTCTAACCCACATCACAACTTCTCTCTTCTCCCCAGGAGTCAGTCCTGCCTCGAGACCTTCCCCAGGCACCCCAGCAAGCCCAACCAGCCTTACCAGTGGCTTGAAGACCCCCGGCCCAGGCCCCCTGGCAGCACCGCCAAACCCCTTGGCCAATATCCTTTCCAAAGTGGAGATCACGCCCGAGAGCATCCTCTCCGTGCTTTCCAAGACCCAGGCCCAGGCCGCGCCAAGCTTGCAAGGTAACTGCATGGGCTGCCCGCATGTTCAGTTCGTGCCGCTCCCCAGGCCGGCTGCTTGACTGAACTGCTGTGCTTGCTAGAATGGACTTGGCTGGCACCGGTTGCTCCTCTGAAGAAGATCCTGAAATTTAGCATGTGGCTGAGTTCCATTTTGGGGAAAGATGGCAGCTTGATTTTTCAGTGCTCCATCATTAAGTTCTCATCTGCAGTGGTCCATGCACGAAAAGAGCCATGCGGAGTGAACAGTGCCTGGGGTTTGGGGTATGTTCACAGAGCAGTTCCCAGTGTTTAAAGGAGCAGAATATTCTGATGAAAAGAATGAGCTGAAAGGTTGCATGGGTTAGTTTGGAGAGAGACGAAAGCTGCGTGTCGATGAGCTAAAAGGCAGTTGCTTTTTTGCCCTGCCGATGCCTAACGTGACACATTCCTCTTGCACTCCAGGTTTGTCCTCGTTCCTGCAGAGTGTTGCAGGGAACACGGCCCAGCCCAGTGAGGTGGCATCTCAGAGTACATCTCCATCACCTGCCAACACAGCTGCAGCTCCTTCTGGGAAGGGAAGGAATGTTTCATCCAACCCCCCATCCTTCATACCCCAGAGTTTCAGTTATTCTCCAAATTCCTCCTCCTCCTCCGCCGAGGTTTCCTCCACATCCGTCAACAAGGTCTCTGCTGCACACAGCACCAGGCTCCCCAGTGCCAGTTTTAAGCCTCCAACCAATTCTGTGGGGTTCGCCAGTGCCCAGGCCAGCAGCCCTTCCCTTCGCCCTGCTGAGAACCCAATGAATCAGTCTTCTGAGATCTCGGAGACCAAGCTGGAGGCAGAGCCCACATCTCCCAGTCTGGAGATGAAGATACACAACTTCTTAAAGGGCAACCCGGGCTTCAGCGGCTTGAATCTGAATATCCCAATTTTGAGCTCCTTGGGTTCTAGCATGCTGCCTGAAAGCCATTCGTCGTCATCTGCAGATTTCAGCCGTGGGCCCACGAGCACTTCTATGGATAGCATTGACGGCACGCCTGTCCGCGACGAGCGGAGCGGGACGCCCACGCAGGACGAGATGATGGACAAGCCTTCATCTAGCAATGTCGACACCATGTCGCTGCTCTCAAAGATAATCAGCCCTGGCTCGTCCACTCCAAGTAGTACAAGATCGCCTCTCCAGAGTCGAGATGACGGTTACCCCCAAGAACTCTCTAACTCTGTGTACAGGTCTTTCAGCCTAAACCGAGACTCTCCAGCAGGCCTGTTCAAGCCGTCCTCTGATGGCATCGAGTTACCTTCCTCCTTAATGGACTCTCCTCAGGAGAAGTTCTATCCAGACACCTCCTTCCAGGAAGATGAAGATTACCGTGACTTTGATTACTCTGGTCCTCCGCCTTCTGCCTTGGTGAACTTGGAGAAGCAGCCCGCTAAATCTATCCTGAAATCTGGCAAGGTTTCTGATCCATCAGAGTATCAGCCAGTTATGTCAAGCTACAGTCAGAGAGCCTCTGGATTTGGCTTGAAATCCACATTCCCCCAGTTGGTGAGACCTCTCCATGAACAGAGCGAAAGCTGTGATCCCTTGTCCCCCGCTGGAATGTACGGAAGCTACAATTTACGAGGAAATGACTGTGGCTCGGATGCCTCCCCTACGCCGAGCAAGAATGATGTCTTCTTCCCGCCAGATTCCAACCATAACAACTTACCCAAACCCATGCCACACTCAGGCCTGTCGCAGAAGCAGTATCCGGATTCTCCTCACTTGGTTCCCCACAGGTCGCTCTTCTCTCCCCAGAATCCACTCATGACCTCGGCCAGCAGGCTGCCCACGTCCAACACAGAGAAGTCCGTCGTGTCTTCCATCTCGGCCACGTCCACCATCGAGTTCAAGAACATGCTGAAAAACGCGTCCCGCAAGCCCTCCGAAGAGAGCAAGCACTTCAGCCAGGGCCCCAAAGTGAGCGCCAGCGATGGCGCCGTCCTGTCCAGCCTCAGCCAGGCTGGGATCTCGGCGGGAGGGGAGCCGCAGAAGCAGCCGGAGGAGCATTACCGGATCGAGACCAGGGTCTCCTCCTCCTGTTTAGACTTGCCCGACAGCACTGAGGAGAAGGGGGCCCCCATAGAAACACTGGGCTACCACAACGCCTCCAGCCGGGGGATGCCTGGGGAACCCATTCAGACGGTGGAGTCCATCAGGGTTCTCGGGAAAGGCAGCCGAGGGCATGGGCGAGAGGGCAGCCGGGGGGGGTGGTTCGAGTTGAGCAGCGCAGGGAGCACCTTCGACAACGGTCCTTCCAGCGCTGCGGAGATGTCGGCCCTGGGCACCCCTGGCGGCGGCAGCGGTGGCAGCGGCGGCGGCGGCGGCGTGTCAGGCTTCCAGTCCCAGTACAAGGACCGCGGGCCACCCTTCCAGGAGAACGTCAACAACTTCAGAGCTAGTGGCTTCGGCACCACCTTTGACCGGCACGTGCCGCCGCCGCCCCTAGAGCACGGGCCTTCCTTCCCGAGGGACCAGATCGGGGCGCCTCCCGCAGGGCCCCCACCTCTTCCGCCAAAGGATCTCAGCACCCTGTTCCCTCGGGACCACCCGGCCCCCCCTCCACGGATGCCGGCGGTGGATCACAGCAGCCCGTTCCCGAAGGACGCCGCCTCCGCGCATCGCTTGCCCCGTGGGGTCCCCCCTCCCCCGCCCCCCCCCCCCGAACGGAGTGGCGTGCCCGTGCCCTCCCCCCCCCAGCCGCCGCCTCTCCCCGTGGAACACGGAAGTGTTCCCTTCTCCAGCCCCCCGCCACCTCCGGGGGATCGTGGCCTCCCATTTCCGGCGCCTCCCCTCAGCGCAGAGCACGGGTCCGTCCACCAAGGAACACTGAAAGAGCATTTTAGCATGCCGCCAGGAGTACCTCGGGACCAAGTGGCCCAGCCACAGCGCGACCTGGGCAGCCAGCCCCTTGGGCGGCCTCGTGAGAGCGTCGGCCTGGCCACCCTGGCAAGAGATCCCTTGGGGCCGGCCCTTAGCGTGGGTGCCGCCATCCCACCGCACCGCGACGGCACAAACCGAGGCGGGTTGGGGGTGAGGAACCAGAGGCCAGATTTCCGACCCAGAGAGTTGTTCTTAAACAGAGACCCCTTTAACAGCTTAAAGAGGCCTCGGCCCCCATTTGCCAGGGCTCCCCCCTTCTTCGCACCAAAACGCCCCTTCTTCCCTCCCAGGTACTGAATGAAGGTGTTCCAGAACTTTCTAGAGAGCAGTGGAAGTGGTCCTTTCACTTCCATTTTATTTTTCCCCCCATACAGGGGTCCCTCGACATTTTTCGTTGTCAATTAAGGTATGTTCTATACTACAATATATATATATCTCTATATATATTGTTCTGTTGGTTTCTTGGATTTTGGGTTTTTTTTAGCTGTCAGCCTCAATATAGGTGGATAAGTAAAGGGGTGGGTGGTTTTTGCAAAATAATTTAAAATTAATCTTAAGGTGGTTGTTGAAATAAAAACTTTCAGGAGTTACAAAAAGTTCATCAAATACGGGATTTTTTTTAAAGTCAATATTCCAAATTGTGTCTCCCCCTAGAAAGGAAGTGGGAGTCAGGGAAGAATCCTGTACTAAACATATTAAGGAAGTTTAAAAGGTCCAAGAGTTCCTGTTTTTGCTGCCTCTTTTTCCTTTCCTAAGTAACAGTCACTCCTTTTCCTTTCCTCAGTGGCATGTGCTTATTCTCCTCGAGGCCTTTGCTCCCTGTGTCTGTCGTGGGTCGAATCTACCGTGGGAGGAGGGTGGAGGGTACGTGTCATCTTGTGTATCTGCTAATCCCCCTCTTTTTCTTGTTTTCTTTCTGCAGTCCTTTTAGGTTCATAACGTTCTCACGATTCCTCAGATTGGTGAGGACAAGACACCTGTGATAGAATAATTTGACTTTGCATGGGTCTTGACTTTTTCAAGGGTTTTTCCCCCCAGTGAATTGGCTAATGTAGGTGGGAAGCAAGAGGGATGGGAGGGGAGAGACTGCTCGAGTCCTGGCAGGGTGCCCCATATGCTCCTCTCATTCTTCCTCTGACCCTCTCCTGAAGTCGCCATGGGTTGTGTCTCTCAGTGCAGCTGTGGGCATAGACAGCCTTTGTGTAAAAACTGGATTTCTCTTCGTAGCTGCCTGTTCCCTACTCGGGAAGTCTGCATTTTTGAGTTCCTAATATTCTGCCACGTTGTGCATTCCTCAATAGTAATATTCCATATGTTGAGTGCGCGCATTTTAAAAGAAGACATGCATCAGATGTACCACTTTTATACCTGGATTATAGGTGGATTTCATGTTTCAGAGATTGCTTTTTCAAATCCAGCTCCCCCACCCCACCCCTTAGGCTTGCAGAAGATGCCATCTTAAAATGCAGAGGATTTAAAATAATGTAGAACTACCATTTCTTCTAGGTTCACTCGACTGATGCAATGTCCACTTCTCTTAGTTCACAGATGGGTTCTGTGAATAATTTCCTTTTAGTGAGTGGCAAAACGTAACCCAGGTTCCATAGCAGTCAATCCAAGTACATCAGAATTCTGCATTTCTGAAGGAGGATGGGTGAGTGCTACCCCTTTGTCACCCTTCTCCAACTCGATGGCTTCCAAATATGTTGGACTACACTTTCAGTCACCCGCAGCCACCATGCTCATTGACCGTGCTGGCGTGAGTTGATGGGAGTTGTAATCCAGTTTTTCTGGAAGCTACCATCCTGGGGAAGGTTGCTGTATGTACATGAGATACTTCTTGGGGATCAGTGCCCTTCTCCCAAATTTAACATTCCCAATGGCCTGTGAGGACGTTGAGGGACATGTGTGATAAACCAGCTGAGCTGCGTAATAAGCGTGCTTGGCTCCAACCAGTGTGAGCCAGTTTGCCTTCACGGCACAGGGAAGCCCAACGCCAGGGTTGCTTGGGTCGGCTTCCTTTCGCCCCTTAACTGCATGACTTCTGCTTGATACATATTCCTTTAGCCACCCGGGATGGTTTTTTCCAGTGGCCGTGGGAGGAGGGAAAAACACTATGCTCTGTCGTGCACCACCAAAGCCTTCTCCCGTGGCAGCCCTGTCAAAAGTAGCTTTTCCCAACAGGGCTCAGGCACCAAGAGAACACCTGTATTTTACTGTCGTTAAGACAGACTTCAGAATGCAAAATAATAAACAAGCTAAAGTTGTAGGTTTGCTTTTTGTTTTGTTTTGTTTTGTTTGTTTCCTTTCTAGGATAAATAATGTGAAATTTCTTATTTCCGCTGCTCTTTCAGTGGCGATTTTGCTGATTTTTTAAAAAGAAAATCTGCAGGTAACATAAACAGCTAATTGCTACCACTACTCAAATTGCCACATCATAGGAAAATGGCTTCAGTCAGTCAGACCTGGGTTGCCGTTTGGGCATCTTGCAGGCAAAGAACTGAAAAAGAACATAACTTGTAAAAAGACAAAATATTTTAATGGAAAAGTTCCATGTCTTTCCTTCAATCCTTTTGTTCTTTTTATACCTGATTTTGTGCTTTTACTTTAAAATGTTGACAGTTAACTGAGGGCAGCAATGTATATACGTGTGTAAAAAAAAGAAAAAGAAAAAAAGAGCCAGTTAGTTTGTTGGGCAGGAAGGGAATCTTCCTGTCTAAAGGTTTTACTTCCCTTTACTTTGCTGTTACTTTTGTATTTCACCTGATAAGAGAGAGAAAAAGAAAATGAAATAAACTTGTATTTTTTAAGGAAAACGTTAGTGTCTCTTATGAAGGACAGCCTTTTCTAAAAGAGGAGAGCAAACCACGTACTCCTCTCCAGCTGTTTTGGAAATGCAGAAGCAGGTTGCAGAGTATTACACTTGGCACAGCTCTTGATACTCATGAATGACAAAAGCGATTTCCATGGAAGGGCTTTTGGAGGGTTGTTTGGAGATGCTACCGCTGTTGAACGATCGGCCAGCCTTCTCACTCAACATTTTCCGGAGCAGGTCCCCGAAGGGTAGCTTTCCGCAACCCAGTGCCTTCCAGCTGTGTCAGACTGGCCAGGAATGATGGGAGCTGTAGTCGGAGGGCACCGGCTTGGGGAAGGCCACCCTGAGCACGTGTGGGGTTTGCTGAATCAGTGTAGCCCAGGGAAATGGTCCTCCTCTCCTCTGGGCCTGTTCACGGAGTAGACTTCTCTGCCCATGGAGTGGTGCCTGGGCTGGAAACCCCGCCTTCAGACCACCTGGGGAAACTGAAGAGCCCTCCTCCCTCACAGAGGGAGCAGCCGCGTGTGGGGAGGTTCCGGGGGGCACCATGGAAGTGGCGGCAGCAGCGCTGCTATTTTGAAGATGCTGTAAATACTTGATGTGCTTTTTATTTTTGTGCCTGTTTAAAACAGAGTTGGATATTTGTTGGCTTGGATTTAGTTTCAAGTGTGTTCTTGTGTGGGGAGGGTGGGGAGGGCAGGGGAGGGGAGGGGGAGAACTCAACTTGCTTTGGGCAAAGCAGCAGCGAACTGCAGCAGACTGTCTCTTGAATTGTACATTAATACATTTAATAAAATAACTAGTTTGAATGTTTTGATATTCTTCTTGTAAATAAGCCCTCTTTTAAGTGTGCGGTAGGTGTGTAAGACTGAGGAAGTGCCTGAAGAGGAGACCCAGCTGGTCCTCGCTCGGCAGTCTGCTCTTAGAGATGGAGAACGCGCCTCAGCGTCCACCGCGTGGCTGCCGGAAGAGATGCGGCGTGGCCGCGGCTTAAAATGGAGGGGGGTGGGGGGCCCACGGCAGATGGAGGACGCGTGATCCCCCGTTCAAAGACCTGCAGATCCCGTTCCGAGGAAGAGCTGACTGTGCTTGATTGTGCACCTTGCCTCTGCTTGGGAGGTGGCCTCGAATGGCGCCCTCTGCAACGCGGCCCAGCCGAAGGGACGCACCTCGAAAGCTCTCTCTCCCCCGCCACCTCCCCCCACACACCCCTACACTCTCCTCCCTCCCCTTATTTTTGTATTGTATACTAATAAAGTGTTCTTGACTTGGTGTGGCCTCCATTTCTAGAAGAAGGGGGGGTTCTCTTCTCGGTACAGTCACGGCGGCTGGCCGCAGACTGGCAGTGAATGTGCCGTGGCGTTCAGGTTGCTGGTAGCACTTCGTATGTGTGATGCTGTTGTGGCAGGAATGGGATTGTGCACAGTAAGCATTCCTGCTCGGAGTACCTGATAATTCTGAACCATGGAAATGGGGGGGGGGAGTGTTGGTCAAATGTTGATCCCGACTGGACCGGGTCTCCCCCGTTTCTCCCCCCATTCCACTTTCCGGAACGGTGCGTGGGACACGTGGGCTGAGCTTGTTCTCCCCCTCCAGAAGCATCCCAGTGGCCTTTGTGGCAGAACCTGGGGTCAGGCTTGCTTGGGGGTATTTTTGGCTCCAGAAGATCGTGTAGTTGTGTCTGCAATTTGTGCAAGTGGCAGGAGACTGAAGTGTTCCAAAGGTGGACGCTGCTAGGGACTGTTGGTTCGTCACGGAGAGGCGACAGCATTATATTATTCGAGCAGGAAGACCTTTACTGCTTTTGCTCCACCCCTTTGCTAGTGTCTTTCAACGACTTGGCAACCGGTGCCCGGCACCTGCGCAGAAGCATGCTTGCCATGTAAATTTCTTTGTATGCTACCTGCTCCACTCCCTTGTACAGTTGAAAAGCGCACGTACCAGACCGCCCAAGGCAGGCACTTGCCGAATACGGACAATAATGCCAATTGCAGCTGCACAATTTTCTGGCACTGGGAGCTGCTTCAGGAGGGTGGTGGGCTGCTTTTGGTCGCGTCAAAGTGCCGGTTGGGGGTTGCTGCCTTTGCCGAGCAACTTGCTAGCTGAGCCCTGCAATCCACGGCGAAATGGCTGTCAGGGATTCAGATGACCAGCCCACTGTGGGTTGCGCTGTCCCTGGAACACCCAGTGGCTTGTCGCTGAAAAATGAACCTCCCTGCTGGAAGCAGGGCTGATGACCCAGTTTCTGGCGTCGAAGGGAAAAAAGGAGTGGGCAGGGACCTCGACCCACCCTGCCCTCCTCCTCTTATCATGTGGCCTTGCAGGAACCAAATGGGCCGTGTGGAAGCTTTGCCCAGGGCGGCACCTGTAGCCGCGACTTGGTATTGGCCACAGAGCCAAGGACTTTGATGCTTCCAGCTTCGACTGATCGTAGCAAGCGGTCCCAAACGATCGGAAAGGATTGCTGGCTTGTGTGATGCCAGTGAACCGGGTGTGTTTGCCCCTGGAGAGCAGGCCGGGCTCTGGGTCAAGCGCAGTGTGTGCCTTTGGCGTGCTGCCTGAGCCCGTGAGTTTGCTGCATGTCGAACTGGCCGCCTGAGCGTTTGCTCCCTGCTGTGGGGGGGGGGGGGGGTGTTGGAGTGACCTTTCTCATCTGTTTGATGCCAGTTTTTCAGTCGTTGCAAGTGAGTACATAGCTTTTGGCAGAGGGGGAAGAAGTATGTGTTTCGAAAGCAAAAATCTAATCAGTTAAACAGCCCCTTGTTTACCCCTGGCAAAGCAGATCCCCTGCGTTCTCTTTGGCCATCGTGGTCGATGTCTGTCGCCTGCTCTGTCTAGGGAGTCGGTGCAAATATCTGATGTCTTGTGCAGATCCCACTGCACCTGGTAGGGCTTTTCCTGTGTAAAAGGGCCTCCATTCGCGTCCTTAAGATTGGCCACTGCACTTGCTGCGCCATCCTGGAAATGGTTATCCTGGGCATTCCTTTCAGGAGGAAGGACGGACTGGGCTTCCCCGTCCAAGTCCCCTGCTTACGCTTCTTGGGTACTAAGACCCAGGTTTTCTTTTTTAATTGATCTGCTGCAGGATGGCGGTTAACTAGCTGAGCGTTGAGCTGTTCTCCTCTTTTCCAAACGGTGCAATGCCAAGCAGAAGGCAGTACCTGGAGTGTGAAGAAAGCTTTTCTGCTAACATTGTGCCTTTTGGTTTGCAGGCATTAAAGTACATGCTTTAATGGGAAGCTCCAGCTGTAAGACTTGGTGGGCAGGAGATTGTTTCAGCCCTTCTAGGAGTTTGGCTTTAGTTTATATACCTTATTTCCCCGAAAATAAGACAGGGGCTTCTATTAATTTTTGCTCCAAAAGATGCATATGGGCTTATTTTCAGGTGATGTCTTATTTTTCATGTACAACAATCTACATTTATTCAAATACAGTCATGCCATCTTCTTCTGGAACATCATCCTAACTCAACCCCAAATGGTGTTGCAACGGACATACTAAGTGCGTCCATCTGGCTGACGATCTTAATTGGGGCTTATTTTGGGGGTAGGGCTTATGTTCCGAGCATCCCGAAAAATCATGCTAGGGGTTATTTTCTGGTTAGGTCTTATTTTCGGGGAAACGGTATTGCATTATTTATTGCCCCATGGCCCAGAGGGCTCTCTGGGCAGTTTACAGGAAAATGCTGTTCTGCGTATTCATGGGCAGCTGCTGGGACAGATGGTGTCCCCCTCCCCACCTGGGCCTTGCTTCCAGGGCCGGCCGAGCCTTGCAGAGCAGTGGCTGGGGCAGGCCGGTGAGTGCACCGCGAGCGTCATCCAGGCACAGGTGTGCCGCCTCCCGGTCCCCTTCCCTGTGCACGCCAGGCCCGGAGGGTGCCCGGGGATCGGTTCGAGGTTCGCAGGTGGAGGGGGAGCAGCGGTGCTGAACGCAGGCCTGTGGGGAGCTGGCTGGCTGGCTGCGGGGCAGGGCTGGGCAACACCCACGGGCCGCTCTGTGCCAGCAGTAGGAATGAGATGTTTTGTGTGCGCTGGCTGGAGGTTTCCCGTGGGGTCAGCGGTGGAACGCCCATCGAGTGACCCCTTGTGCTTTACAAATTGCTTGTACATGCTTGAGTTGTGTTCGGCCCCAGTAGGGTCTCCATGATGACTTAGAGTTAAATTTGAGATTTTTTTTTAAATGGAAACATTGGCTGTACGAATTGGCTCCTGATCACAAGAATTCAGATTCTTCCAGAACCCAAGAGTCCTTGTGTCATTCCATGAAGTTGGATGACAAGAGGTCTGGGATGGATGAAAAGGATCAATGGAGAGGCCTACAGCACCCAGGCTAGACACACTGGGAGTTGTAGGCCTCCTTGCTAGCAAAATGCACCCAGGTTGCTCCTTCAGGCACAGGATGAGTGGAGGAGAAAGCTGTGAATGGCTGCCACAGGCCAGTCAGCTGCCTCTTCTGTCAGAGGCAGAGTGGTCCTGTCTCCCAGTAGCTGGGGAGCGTGGATGGGATGGAAGGTGTCGGCCTCCTCTCTTCCTCTGAGGGTTTCTCACGGGCAGCTGGTTGGCCACTGGGAACAAAAATCTGGATCAGATGGTCCTCTGGTCTGACCGAGCACTGCTGGCTTTATCTTCTGGGCTGCACATAACAGGCCGATGACCAACTCCCTCTGGGGGTGGGAGGGCGCCTGTTACTCGAGAGGCCCCTGGTCTGATCCTTATCGCTGTGTGGCCTTTGGTGGCAAGTTGAGCAGTGGGATTTGCGTGCCATCAAAGACCCCCCTCAAGCCTAGCAGCGCGTCCATTTGCCACTGGCCGCTGTGTTTGACCGCAGTTGAGCCTGCCACCCCGCAGCCTGTATTTGGAATGCTTTATGCTGCTTTACCTCCCCACGCAGTTTGCGTGGGAGGAAAACAGTGGCAGCAAAGTCCACCAAAGCCATTTTTAAAAAGGCAAGCCACCCCACCTGGGAGTAAATCCTATTGAATGCAATTGGATTTCTGGGTGAACACGCTTAGGATTGCATTAATTTGAAATCTTCCTTCAGGATAGATCAGCTTTGTGCAGTTGACGTTTCTGCAGAAGAGCAAGGGAAGCCCTGACACGCCACCTCTGGGAGGCTGTTCCAGGGCCTCTGCTCTGCTCTCCTCTGCGATGTCAAGTCTTCTGGAAGGGGGTATATCGGCGCAGGCCATCGTGTGTGCTTCTGGTGATGCCTGGGCATCGCTAGTGCGATCAACAGTGTTGAGAAATCCCCAACAGGTCCTTCCGTCTTTTGCCTTTGTTCCTGAGCTTGAGAGAAGGGAGTGAGAGGAGGGACTCACTGCACAGAATTGTGATGCCCTGTGGTGCCTTGTGGGGGTTATGTGATGGGGTGCAGTGCCTGACTCGGCTGTTGCTCTTTGCACAACTCCTGCAGCTAAGATGAGACATGGTGTGGGGTGTGGGAGGCAGCCAGTAAGTGTGTTGCAAAGAAGATGACCTGGGGAAGGGGATGCAGGCAGCGCTGCCCAGTGGTGCTACCTGGGGAATGCTGGGAGTTGGAGGACTTGCATAGGGTTTGACAAAACATGTATAGCTCTGTGCCCTGAACCGCTCGCTTGCCCCTTCTGGGCATGCATATATCTGTGATGGAATGGACTGAGCAAGATCTGGTATAGGCATCTGTCCCCGAATGCGACTGGGCATGCAAGAGCGAGCTGGGAGCGCTGCTTCTGTGACAGAGCTTCGGGTGATGGGCATTGAGTTGGGGGCACTCTTGTCGCCCATGCCTGGGACCACTTCATCCCTTGGGGCTTTTGTGCTTGAAGAAAACCGAGTCCCCTCCTGGGAGCTGGGCCCACCCCGCACACATTTCCTGCTCCAGGCCGTATGAAAGAGCAGCCCCGCTCCCTCCGGAGGTTTGGGCGCTTGAGTGCAGCCTCTTCCTCGAGTGGCCCAAACCCCGTGCACCGGCCGCGTGCCGTTTGCGTGCTGCTGGGGCCTGCACCTGCCCTCCCGCCATGGGGGTCGGAGCAGCAGCTCCCAAGGAGCTGCACAAATGGCGCTGACGGGGGTTGGAACAAGGGCTGGGCGCCATGCTCTCAGCTCTGCTCTGCCCGGCTCATTTGATTGCTTGAACTGAGTCGGGAGCGACTATCTGTAAGGCCTGTTGGCTGTTCTGCCCTGCACACCTGGCCTGCTCTGCGTTTTCTTTTGTTTTTACATCTACCAACACTCTGTGGCAAATGTAGTTTTGTTTTGCCAACGTAACAACCAGCCTTTGCTTCTCTTGATGATACGGTGTCCTTCCTCCCATTGCAATTTCTACCTCACAGCTCCGCTTTTCTTGTCGGCGTACCCTTCCCGGCAGTTGTGTGGGCATTGAGATGTTGCTGCAGTTCTACAGTGCAAACTTCCTGACGCCTTTCTGTCCAGAAGGGACTAGAAGGGGCATTTTAGAGGGGAAGAGGAGGGGGACAAGATTCCCAGTGAAATCTGTAGGCCTGCTCCAGGGCATATCCCCAGGTTAAGATCAACAGAGAGGTTTTGCTGAACCAGTCAGGTTTTGCTGATCAACAGAGAGGTTTTGTAGTTACCCCTCTAAAAATTGTTGCTAGAAAGGAGAGGCGTAGTTTAGGCCCAGAGAAAGATGGGGGGGATTGAGCTGAGCATGGTCCTTACTTCTTAAGGTCCTTGGATCAAACAGGTTTCACAGGGAATAAGAGGCAAATAAGAGTAACCAGAAGGAAAGGGTGTGAATGTGCACACGTCATGTAGCCATCTGCTATCCATCTGCTTTGAGTTCATCTGGGGCGCCGAAAAACAAAAGGCTGCCAGCTCTCCTCAGCTCAAGAGCATGGATCACAAAGGGCCTGTTAAAATCTCCAGAAATAGCTTAGCAAATTTATCAGCCCAGGCTGGTGACAGGATTTGGGTTGCCAGTAGCCTGCCCATGTCATGTTTTCTAAAGAGAGTGTGACTATTTGTCATGATGCCCGCAGAACCTCCAGTGTTAGGGGCAGCCTCTGAAGGGCAGTTGCTGGGCAACACGAATGGGAAGGTTACTGTGCTCATGACCTGCTCTTGGTTCTCCTTTGTTTTTGTTGGAGGCGGCATCTGGTTGTGCCGCTGTGGGAACAGAATGCTGGAATCGGTGGTGTTTTGGTCTGATCCAGCATAACTCTTACGCATGGAACCTGAAGCTAATGTTACTGGATTTGGCCATTTGAGAACTGAAATACCCAAAGACATTTTGAACTGTGTGTGTGGAGGGAGAGGGCAAAGGGTTGTGTTTTGGTTTTTGTGTACAGCATTGCTCCCTGCAGTATACACGCACCGGAAAAGAACAAATGCACTGGGCACAGTTCAGCCCTTGTTAGCACTTCGTAACTCATGTTGGTTCCAGCAGAAGAGAGAGAACTGTGTGCTTCTGTCACCCACTGAAATATTAGTGACATTTGGAAGGGCTTCAGCTGGTCTGGAGGATCATTGTGTATAAATTGTGTATGCATAAGTAGTTATTTCTAATGCATAGGAATACGTTCCTATGTGAAGTGTAGATTGCGGCAACAAATTGTATATAGATTGCTATCTCTGAAAAAGAAAGGGACAGGGACAGCGACAGCAGCCACTGCCCTGTTTTCTTTTTCAGCTGTGGTTATTCTGCTAAATAAGACATCCTTTCCTTGCTGTCTCTTACATATGCTAGTAATCTGGTTTATAGGATTTTATGGTGCTCAAAACAGGGAGGGGAATAATCGCTTATTTAAGGAAAGTCTCCCGCCTCTTTAAGAGCTGCACAAACAGGCAGAACTTCATAGCTTTTACAATGCACGTAGACAATGCTGGAAGCATCTTCACCTGTTGACTTTCTACCTTGTTTTACTCGGTTTCTGTGTGTGATTTGCTTTTGGTGTTTCTAGCGAGTCTGTGTAATTCTCTGCGCAGCTCCAATGTCTGTCCATTGGTATCTTCCTCCCTCCCCCGCCCGCCCGCCCGCCCGCCTCCAAGCATCGCCTGCCACCCCGAGGGCCAGGCCTGCTGGGCTGCCAGCTTGGCTGGGGTGGGCAGGGCGACCTATGCAGAGCTGCCGGTGGGGGCGGGGGGGGGTCTCGCCTTCCAGCGAGCGCTTCAGAGGCAGAAGAGCAGGTCTCCTAGCGCATTGTGCAATCTCAGATTAGGGCGCCAAGCCTCGCCCGGGCTCCGGGGAGGCTCCGCTTCCCTTTTCCAAGTCCTCCCTTTGCTGCGCAACCGGGGGGGCGCCAAACTGCGGCGGAACTTGCCCTACCGGGTTCCTCGTTGCAGGAGGGAGGAATCAGCAGGCGGGACCGCTTCCAGGGGAGGGGAGGAGGAAACTCATTGGCCGTGCGCTCGACCAATGCGCGCGCTCCTCTGCAGGGCCGGCTGAAGCTCGCGCGCGCGCGCGCGCAGGCGCGGTCCCGCCCACGCAGGCGGTGGCTGGCTCCTGGCTCGCGGGTCGCGAGGATGCGAGTGGCGGGGAGCGGGTGCTGCCCTTGTGCACGTGGGAATTGAGCGCCGGACACGGGTCTTCCTGGAAAGATGAGGGTTCCGTGGCTCTGGAGGAGGAGCTGGGTGGGGAGGAGGCAGCCCTGCAGGTCCTACACGGTCTGTCGCATTTTTAAGTAATACTACTGCCCTTCCCTCACTTCTTTCTCTCTGTATATTTGTGCGTGTGTGTGTATTCGGATGTGCAAATACAACTCCCTTTGATACCTTTTTATTCTAGCGCCTTCTTTTCTGGTTGCTCCTCCGTTTGTAGGGGATGGAGTCTCCCTGTGCCTTTGTAAAAGATGCCCAATAGACAATAATTTAACTAGTGAGGCCTTACGTCTGTGCCCAAAGCGTTCCTGGATTTTATGTGCTTTATTTCTCCTTTTAAATCCGCTTGTTTTAGGGAAGAATCCTGTGCATGTTTAGACAGAAAAGAAGCCCTACAGTGCCTAGCATTCTTCACCCAGCTGGACAGGTGTTGGAGGACTCCAGTGCCTATCACTTAAGATAGTCATAACTTCCCTTTTTTCCTGCAAGGGTCTCAAGGCAGCTTGTGCAATGTTCCCCCCTCCCTTTTATCTGCACAACGACCCCCTCCCCCTTCTGAAGGACATCTGCGAGAGGCAAAAAATAAAATTGTGATGTGTGTTGCATTTTACTCTTACTTAGTTATTTAAATTCTCTCCTGCCCAAAATAGGGCTCAGGGTGTAACAGTCATGAAATACAGATGAACAACAAAGTCTGCATTTAAACATTAAATAAACAAAACATCAATTACAGACACAATGTTGAAAGACATAGATAATCACTGGTTCTAGCTGGGAGGCAAAGCCGTTGGCCTGGACTTTGCAGTTCCTTGAATTTGTTGCCAGACTCTTTGGGCCTTGGGGGCTTCTCTCCAACATTCTGTGCAAATTGTATCCTTTCCTGCCCCCTCCCCAATCACTTATTCTTTTTCACCTGTTTTATGTTTCATGTCCTAGGCAGGTGCTCTCCCCTCCCCCATTGCTGAACGTTTGGCATTTTACAAGCAGCTCAGAGCCGCTGCCGAGGAACGCTGTGCCGAGCGAACCCGCCAAGAGAGACGGCCGATTCGGCTCTCCCTGCCAGGCGGCAAAGTAGTAGAAGGAGAGGCCTGGACTTCCACACCACATCAGGTGGCCTTGCACATAAGGTGGGCTTTTGTCGACAGTCTTTCCATGCCTGAAATGCTTTCAGACATTCCTAGCAAAATATATTGAACGAAGAGGGCCTTTTGCAGTGAGTGGGGAAGAAGGGATGGAAGCGCACAGTGGCAAAATCTGAAGACCTGTCTTCTCTCCAGAGTTGGAACACTCCTTGGGAGTGCAAATGGGTCATCTGGAATTTTCAGGATACTCCACGATTGGCTGATTGCCAGACACAGGCATGTGTCTCCACGAGTGACGGGAGAACAAGTTTCTAGTCCTTAAAGCTGTGAAGAGAGCCCTGAAAGACATGGAGGCAAAATGCTGAGAAAAACCACTCGTGCCCAGGGCTTCTAGGGATTGTCTGCTGCTGGCTCCAGTCAGAAAGAGCAAGAAACCATCCTTTTACATCTTTTTTCTTTTGTTTGCTGTTTTTAAATATCTCATTCCTGCTTAGAAGAAAACCTGAAAAATCAGCTTAGAACAATAGAATGTGCATGCAAGGAAAGGAAATCCAGGGAATCCCATAAGCACAATATTTTGATTGAGTCTCCTTATTTCCGGTAAATGTCTCCTTGCATTCATGAGATGGTTACCAATCTGAAACATGTTCTGACTTTCCCATCCTCTTTCAGTCAGCAACTGGCTAAGCGGGCAGTCGTGGCCCGGGTGAACGGGTGCTTCCATGATCTGGATCGCCCACTGGAGGACGATGCCACCTTGGAATTTGTGGACTTCGATTCTCAGGATGGCAAATCGGTGAGTATTGATTAACTTGTACATGCTTTTTGGAAGAGGGAAACGGGTTTGTGTGAACTGTGACTCGTGTGGAGCTAGCAGGGCTGTGCCTTGCCCCGTCAACATTCAGGAACTTGTTGCAAGTGCTTCCAAGGCGAGGCGTCCTCTTGCGCAGGGGCTTCCGGGATGCCTGCCTGACCAGCCCTCTTCTCCTCCCGCTCCATCTCCTCCCCAGCTTTTCTGGCACTCCAGCGCCCACATTCTCGGGGCCGCTGCCGAACGTTTTTACGGTGCACTCCTGTGTCACGGACCCAGCATAGACAAGGGCTTCTTCTATGACATGTACCTGGATGGTGAACGGTGAGCCGAAAGGGGGCCGGGCAACAAACGTCACTGGTGTTGTTATTAATAACGCCGATTGTAAGTCTGTCGCTTCTCACTGCAACAGCAGCCCCAGAGCAACCTGGGCACACACATAATTAATATAACGGGGAAAATTTGCTGTGGGCCAGCTGGGGGTTGGGGAAAGGACAGAGCCCTCGCACTCAGCACGCTGAAATCCCGTGGCTCAGTCCATGAAAACCCGCTACCCAAAGCCCTTTGGAGGTGTCGCCAGGCAGTACTGTGGTGGGACAAGGGCACGAGGGGGGGGGTGTTTTTCCTGCTGAGGAAAGGAGGGCAGGGTCGGGGCACATGGGCCCCCCTAGATGCCCCCCCCCCGGATGTACTCTCAACCCTTCCCAGCCAGCGTGATGCCTTGTGTGTGGATGAAGTGCTGCCTCCTTGCCCTCCACCAGGTGTCCTTGCTGGCCAGCTGATGACTTGGGTGCAGATGACTGGCTCTGGCAGAGCAGCGGAGGGGGTGCAGGGGGTGTGGCTTCCCTGGATTTCAGCAAGGCCTTGGACAAAGCACCCCATAAGTTGTTGTTGTGAAGTCGTGTCCGACCCATCGCAACCCCATGGACAACATTCCTCCAGGCCTTCCTCTCCTCCACCGTGCCCCAGAGTCCACCTAAGCTCACACCCACTGCCCCAGTGACTCCATCCAGCCACTTCATTCAGAACTCTGACAATGGCCCCATGATATCCTGGTGGAGAGGCTGAGGAGTTTTGGGATACACCAAAGCACTGTCCGGTGGATTAGGGCATGGTTGACTGACCGAAAGCAGAAGGTAACCATTAGCAGGGAATCATCGGGATGGCGGCCAGTGACAAGCGGGGTCCCCCAGGGCTCTGTCCTGGGGCTGATCCTGTTTAATCCTTTCATCAATGACGTGGAAGAAGGGGTGACCAGTCTGCAGATCAAATTTGCAGACGGTACTAAAATGGGGGCAGTGGCAGCAACTGAGGGGCAGGTACTCCAGATCCAAAAGGATCTGGACAGACTATGGAAGTGGGCAGAATTCTTTTAGATTTCCAACCAGGTTTTCAGGAGTAACTTGGACTGAGTGCTCCGCATCAGACAGGGCCATTGTTAGATTTCTGACAGCTCAGGAAAAACTAGAACAGTTCAGAAAGTATGTGGGTGGGGACCAGAAAGCTGAACAAAAATTCTGCTTTCACCTCCAGGCCTGCATACCTCTAATTATCCCATGTCGTTAGCTGAAATGTCCAAGAGCCACTCTTTTCATGCAACCAAATCAGCTCCACCGCCTTAAGGCCCACAAGTATTTTCTGATTTGGGGAACCTCATATTTTGATGAAGCACAGAGAACCTTTTGAGGGAAATGTTCTTTGCGGACGAGGGCCCCAGAGCTGCCCACTGAGGATGGAGGGGGCTCCCTGGCGAGAGAATGCCGAGGAGACGGGGGAGAAGCAGCGGTTCAGGGTGTAGAAAGAGGAGGAGGGCAGAGACGCTGCAGTTCCGAGCAGGAGGAGATTTGCACGGCAACCTCTTATTTCAGCCCTCTTTATACTTTAATGTTAGGGCTTTAGAAACAGGAAGGCAGCCGCTCTCTGGATTGGGACTGTTGTGATAGTGGCTGTTGCCCAGTGTGGGGTGATGATCACGGTGTTGGACCGGGACTTGGGAGACCCAGGTTGTAGGCCCCACTCGGCCGTCAAACGTGCTGAGTGACTTTGGCCAGTCAGACTCAGGATTGTTGTGAAAGGAAAATGAAGAGGGGGTGAATCTTATAAGCCACCTTGGGTTCGCTGCAAGAGGTGGGATAGAAATGCAATATCTTCATAATCACGGGAAATAAGGACATTGGGTCCAGCAAAGGCCCTGCCTGTCTCTTGCTTATGTGGCCTTTGATTGCTTTCCGTGAGCTCCCCAAGTTTCACCGAGAGCTCGCTGCTTTCCCCTCCAGGACTGTGTCCAGTAAGGACCTGCCAGCGCTGGAAGAGCTCTGTCGGGAGATCATAGGAGAGCAGCTCCCCTTTGAGAGGCTGGAGGTGTCCCGGGCGGAGCTGATGGAGCTCTTTAAGGTACCAAAGCATCAGGGCAGCCTTTCTCCACGAGGTCTTGTCACCAGACATGGGAGTTTTAGTCCAGTCTCTGAGGGGCACCTGATTGGAGGAAGCTTGTGGACATCTTTGAAAACTCTTCAGCCAACTTTCTGATGAAATGAAGGGACACTGGAAATATATTTAATTAAATTGATAAAGTTCTGCCTTTGTTAATATCCAGGCACTTGTAGTCAAGGTGGCAGCCAGTCAAATGAAAAGAAAAAGGAAACATTCATCAGGTTAAAGGAACTCACTACTCCCAAATAAGCAGTTTTGGGTATTTGGCTGCCCGTTTGCCTGTCCCTGCCCACAGCTGGAATATGGCCCCTGAGATGCAATATGGCCCCTGGGCTGAAGGAAGTTTTGCACCCCTGCTTTTAGGACCACGGGACTGTGCCAGTTGGCTGGAACAGCTTAACACAACTCTTCTGCTGGAAATATTCAGCCTGCAGGGGTTCTTAATTCACCGGAATTAAAATACCTAGCAACAGGTTGTTCAGGCTTTTTTTGTTTGGAATGCTGACCTCATTTCCAAAATGGGCACAGAGGGCCTGTCATTAGCCTGCTGGGCATCGCAGGATGTGGTGCTGTCCACGGGCTCGGATGCCTGGAAAGAAGCATTCAAGAAATTTCCGGAGCACGAGGGTGCTCTGTTAGCCAGGTCAGCCAAAGAAGGCCTCCGTGCTTAGAGTCTGCACACCTGGAATACTTGGCAGCTTACAAGCCCATTAGTAAAATGACAAGCTATTAGAGCTGTAAAAAATGGCCAAGCAGCCTAATTAGGGAGCATCAGAAATAAATGGAGGAGATAATGCTTTATTATAATAATGCCCTTGAGGGCTCTGGGAGACAGGGTGCTGTGGAGGATGGGCCTTTGGCCTAACCTGCAAGCTTGTCCTCTCTCTCTGTCTTCCACGCGTAACTGCGCATGGGCCCTGCTCGGCCTGTCGTGCCGTCAGCAGCACATGCGAGACAGCCAGCCTTAAGCGGGCCTGGACTTCTCTCGTTGTCGCTGAAAGAAGTGCCATTGTCCCGAAGAGAATGGCTTTGAGTGAGCCTCGCGTAAACCCTTTGTGTGGTCCCGGAGGCAGGTGGAGGGCAGCACGACGGGGCGGGGCTTGCTGGAGGCACACGGCACTGAAGGTGTGGGGCACAGGTTGCTGTGGGCAGTTCTCTGCACAAAGAAATCACGAAGGAAACCCATAGGGTGCCACCCCAGGGCGGCCCGGCCTGGTCTTCTCCCAGGGTGCCCGCCTGTGGCTTGTGTCTTTCCCATCCAGCATGGCCGTTGGACATGGAGGTGAGGGCTTGTCTGTTAGGGTCTTCCCTGCCTCCCAAAGCAGGATCCCCAGGCAGCTCACCCCACTGAGGCTTGAGGGCCTGCCTATGGGGTGGCACTCATGAGCGTCACGGGTGTATTTCTGTCGGAGGCGGAGCGCTGTGTGACATCGCCCGTTCTGATCGGTGATGCCCAGCCACTTTGTGAGAGCCACCGGCAAGTTGGTACAGGATGCGGAGGGGCGGATCTCATTTTTGAGGTTGTGCTGTGGGATGGATGGAGCTACTGTTCCTGACTGTCTGCTTAAGCTGCCTTCACAGTCGAGGGTCCAGGTTACAAAGATGTCTGCTTCCCTCCCTCCCTCCCTCCAGCATAACAAGTTCAAACTGCAGATTATCGATGAGAAGGTCACCTCTCCGACTGCCATCGTGTACAGGTGAGGCCGTCTCCTTGATTTGCCTTCCTTGGCTCAGCCATGCCTTTCTATCCCAACTTCCCTTTTCACCTGCTGTCACAGAAGCTCTGGCGCGAGGAGAGTGTTTCGTTGTGGGAGCTCCCGCCGATCCCTGAAGCACTGGGGGTGCCTCTTCTCCCTCTTCCACACAGTTCAGTGAATGCTGCCAGCATGGCCAGGGGGCAGAGAGGGGGGGAGTGTGTGTGTGTGTGTGTGTACATGCTCATGAGGGATAGAAACTTGTCCAGCTCTGTTCAGCTTGCTCCGTTTTTGTTCTCTTTATCACTGGCAGCTGTAATTCTCAGGACGCTTTGTGCTCCTGGGTTCCACGCTGCTGCTGTGTGATTGCAGCCACATGGGCTTAGACATATAGACACAGAGTCAGTCAGAAGGGGCCTCCTGAGCCATCTAGTCTGACCCCTGGCTCCAGCCGGCTTCACTCGTGACACGCCTACTTTTTAGTGCCTCGTTATATCAAAGGCGGCGGGCTCCTGGGGGGCGTGCAGGCATCCAGCAGTCTTGTCTCCTGCCACAAACACTAATGCCACTTCCCCACGGGCAATTCCCTTTCCAGGTGTGGCACCTTAGTTGACCTTTGCCGTGGGCCTCACGTCAGGCACACAGGAGAGATCCGAGCGCTGAAGCTGCTGAAGGTTGGTGCTGAGAGCCCCCGGGGCACCTGGGAGTGGGAGGCAGAGGCGGGTCTCCTCTGGGCAGGTGCTCACAGCCCTCCAGGGATCCGGGGCTGGGAACCTCTTCGATCCACAAGGGGTGGTGCATTTTTCATTTGTTCTCAAACCCAGTCGTCCTGGCAGAGGTCTCTGGGGGTCCCGCAGTCTGCCTCTTTCTTGCCCAGACAACACAGCCCAGATCCTAAATGTCTGCCCCCTTCCCACCTCGGCAGAACTCCTCTGCCCACTGGCACGGAGACCCCTCCAGGGAGTCCCTGCAGCGCATCTATGGCATCTCCTTCCCCAGCCCCAGGCAGCTGGAAGAGTGGGAACGTGCGCAGGAGGAGGCCATGCAGCGGGACCATCGGCGGATCGGCCAGGTATGCAGAATTCACTGCGCGAGGCCTTGTGTATTCTCTGGTGGGTACCTTCTCCATGCCGTCCTCTTTGCTCATGTGCTCACCCCCTCTTATCCTCTTCTCCGTCTGGCCGTCCGTCCCTCCCTCCCTCCCTCCCTCCCTCCCTCCCAGAGCCCTGTCCCCTAGCGAGGGGGCTGCTGGGAAAACCACTCCCAGCAGGAAGCTGTTTCCATGGCCCCCTTGGCCCCAGGGGTGGCTGGGATTTGTTCTTCAGACTTAGGTGGACTCGGGTCTGAACCTGCGAAGCTTTCCAAATGCTCATAAGACTTATTGGTCACTTAGAAGAGACGAATTTCAGCAAGGTGAGGTGGAGTTTACTGCTGCCGAATAACAACAGCCGTTCCGGTTGTCACAGGCAAACGCATGAGCTGCCGTGGGCGTTTTCCTGGGACTACCATGTGCTGCACTTGATTAATCGGATGCATCCAGGGGCAGCAGGCAGGGGAGATTAGTTGTGCTGCACCTTGCGTTGTGGCCGAGCATTGCCTCTGGATCTGCAAATCTGGCACATACCAAAGAACCAAGCGAAGAATACAGACCACCAGCCCTAACAAGCTGAACTCCCTTCCCTGTTTCTGAGGTTTTGCCAGAAATGCTTTTGAATCTTAAGGACTAGAACCTTGGCCCATATTTTAAGTACTAGGTTGCATCCAAGCCATGCCTAGTTCAGTCCTCTCCGTACTAGAAGGTGCCCTTGGTCCATTGACCTCAGCATTGTCTGCATGGACAGATAGTGGTTTTTCCCCAGCCCTGCCTGGAGATGCCGTGGATCGAACCTGGGCCCAGCTGCATGCAAAGGGAGTGGCCTGGCTCAGGAGGGTGGCACTCCGGCCCCCTCTCGGCCGTGATGCTCACTGGGGGACACTGGGACAGTCACTGCCTCTCTGCCTAAGTCTACTTCGCAGGGTTGTTGTGAAGACGGGGGAGAGGAGGAGGCGAACATAAAAGAAAAAGGCTGAGAAATAAATATATTTTATTTATTTATTTATTTATTTTCCGATTTCTAGCCTGCCTTTTTCCTACAAAGGGCTCAAGGCAGCTGACATCATTCTCCTCCTCCATCTTCTCCCCACAACAACCACCCTGTGAGGTGGGTTGGGCTGAGAGTCTGTGACCGGCCCAAAGTCACCCAGTGGGCTCCATGGCCCAGTGGGGACCAGAACCCAGGTCACCTGAGTCCCAGTCCCCTGCTCTTCACCACTAGGCCACCCTGCCTCTCTACCTATATTACTATAGGTAATATACGAAGGCATAAATAGTGAGTTGCTACATGAGCGAACGCACGGCAGGTGCTCGCCAAGGCGTGCCGAGTCGGGCAGGCAGGGGGGTTGGGCCCCTGGGGCGCTCCGTCCCAGCGGTCTCTCCGCTTCCCGCAGGCTCAAGAGCTCTTCTTCTTCCACGAACTGAGCCCCGGCAGCTGCTTCTTCCTCCCCAAGGGGGCCCACGTCTACACCACCCTCGTGGGCTTCATCAAGGTGTGCTTCTGCCTCCCTTTCCTTTGCACCAGCCACGGGAGGGCGAAGGGAACGGGAGCTGAATCCATCAGGGGACGCCAGGCTTGGGCTGGGCCCTGGGCCCGGGAGGCTCGCACGCGCACCGTTCGGCAGCGGACGCCTGAGGAAGCCCGGCTGGGATGTGGGCGGCCTCCTGCCGTGCCAGAAATACGATTTGCGCACCCGGGAGGGGGCTGGACAGTAAAATCAGTGGCTTCGCCCAGTTCCTTATGTCTGATCCCCCCGCCTCACACGCCTCTTTTCCTGCAGCCTACAAACTACCGAGGCTGAAGTAGAATTTGGACCTCGTGTGGTTTTCTTTGGTCGATGTGGAAAACGTTAATGTTTGTCTCATCAAAAGGAAATGTTAAGCCTGCAGGAAAAGCACACCCGGGATTTTGGAGGGTAGAACCGGGGTGGATAAAGATCTTGCCCCCCCCCCCCCCCCCAGAAGGCAGGGGCCTCGCACGAGCTACAGCTAAGAGGCACAAGCCAAGCATGACATTTCTTCTCAGAAAGGCATAATGGCCAGGAGTTTAATTAAAATCGGTCTCGCTCCCACCGCAGTGAATGTTCTTAGGCCACCTGGCATGGCCCTTCCTCATTCTCGCCCTTCCCACCTGTGCAGAGCGAATACCGAAAGCGCGGCTTTTCCGAGGTGATCACACCGAACATTTTCAACGCCAGGCTGTGGGAGGTGTCTGGCCACTGGCAGCACTACGGAGAGAACATGTTCACCTTCCAGGTGGAGAACGAGGCCTTCGCCCTCAAACCCATGAACTGCCCCGGCCACTGGTGAGTCATCGAGGGCACGGGAGGCCCGGGCAGCCAAGCCATGAGGTCCGGGTTTCCCCTGGGGGGAGGCGGCTGCTGGCTTAGACGGCTGTAAGTGGCGCTGGAGGAATCCTTGGTGGACGGAGGGGGCCGAGAGGTCCTGCAGAGGCCCCGAGCGGTCCGGCCGAGGAGTGTTTCCGTCATGCCGGTGCCCCGCTGGCCCTGAGAAGGGCTTTCGGGGACAGCATGGCTGCAGTAGCAGCTGGAAACAAGCATTTTTTGAAAGAGCGGTGAAAGCGGAGGCGCTTGACACCCACGGCAGCTATGAATGTAGTCCTTGAAAAGGCAAAGCCCAAGTGGATGAGAGCTGCATCTTATTTATTCGTTTGTTTGTTTATCAAAAGCTTTTCTGTCCCCTCCCCTACAAACATCTCGGGGCAGCTTACAATAAATAAGTAGAATAAAACAAGCCCCATAGGGTCCAACCATTACTATACTAAAGCCCCAGTTAAAATCAATTCAACATTAAAATAGCGGGAAATTAAAACACATTTTGTCTGACACTGAAAAGAATATAATGCCGGTGCCAGGCAAACCTCTTTGGGGAGCGTGTTCCACAGTCAGGGCGCCACCGCAGAGAAGGCCCCGCTCCGGATGCCTTCCCTCTTAGTCTCCTTCAAGGAGGGCTCCCGGAGCAGGGCCCCCGCCTCAGATCTCAGGGGGTGGGAGGGCACTCAGGGAAGGAGGCGCTCCTCCAGGTTTTCCAGACCCAGTTTTCCTGTCCTCCCCAGGGCAGCCCTGGTGAGCACAGCTGTGACTGCGATGGTGCAGTGCCGTCTCTTTGCTTCCCGCAGCCTCATGTTTGGGCACCGCCCCCGGTCCTGGAGGGAGCTGCCGCTCCGCCTGGCTGACTTCGGGGTCCTGCACCGCAACGAGCCCTCAGGAACCCTCACAGGGCTGACGCGGGTCCGGCGCTTCCAGCAGGACGACGCCCACATTTTCTGCTCCATGGATCAGGTGAGAGGCGTGATGCCCGGGTGGAATGCCGGCACGGTGGAGCCGAGTGCACCGGCGCGAGCATAGCAAAGGGATGCGCGTTCACGGGGGACTTGGCGCTCTTCTTTCTCTGCCTCCGTCCCAACTCAGCTGGAAAGCGAGATCAGCAGCTGCCTGGACTTCGTGCAAGCCGTTTACTCCGTTTTTGGATTCACGTTCCACTTCTCCCTCTCCACGCGGCCGGAAAACTTTCTTGGGGAGCTCCACCTTTGGGATCAGGCTGAGCAGGTAGACGCATATCCGCCCCCCAGCCTTGTTTTCTGCTCCGCTTCTTGCCCGATCTGTTTCCCCCACCTGAAACCCGGCACTGTGGTCACCAGAAAGGGAAGAGCCTGGAGCGAAGCTGGGTGACTCGGGAACCTTGTCCAGGTAAACTGGCAGGTCAGCGTTCCAGGTGGAGGCCACACTCCCAATTTTACATCGCTGTGGCTTCGGGGGGGCCCCTCGCCATCCTCTGCTCACCCATGGCCTGGCCATGCCTCCTGCAAGCCACGTTTCCTGCAGCTGCCCCCAAAGGAGGCCCGAGTGCGCCTGCACCTGCCGAATTACCCAGGCCACCAGCCAGCTTCTGGTCCTAATGGAAGGTGCTGGGTATTTCTTTTTACGTCTTCAGCGGCTGGGGGGCAGCTCGACTCCGTCTCTCTTGGAGGTGCCTTGGGTGCTGGCCTGCAGCAGGGCCTTCTTGGTAGCTGCACCCCCTTCCTGGAATTTCCTTCCTACGTGGCTCCTCTCCCTTGACGCATTTCCCCCGCTTATGCTCAGGCGATTCTTACATCTCCCCAGAGGGTCATGCCAAGCCTGGACTGTCTGCCCCATCCTGGGGATGCCAGTGGGGCGGGTCAGACCGTGGCTGCCGGACTGAGGCAAGTGGATGCCATTGGCAGGTGAGCGTCTTTCCCTTCTGTCTTCCAGCTGCTGGAGAAGAGCCTCCAAGACTCTGGTCTGCCGTGGGAACTCAGCCCTGGTGATGGAGCCTTTTACGGGCCGAAGGTCAGTGGGTGCCTTGCCAGCTCGGAATCTTGGGCTGGTCACACGGTCGCCATAGTGGCAGCAGGAACAGTTTTCTGGAAAAGCGGGATTGAATCGTCCCAAACCGCCAGCTCAGGGCTGCATCAGTGCCACTCTGTTCACGTCAGCAGAACTAAGCACGGGTTTTCTCTGGGCTGCAAGCCATAACAGCCCGGTTCCGTGGATGCTTTCCCCTCTCTTCTGCACTGGATGCTGGGGCTGGCCTGAGGCTGCCGGGGCAGCCTCTTCACTCCAGGCAGATGGAGGTCGGGACAGTTTGGTTTCCGGCTCAGGCTGAGCTTCCACCTGCTTGTGGGTCCCTTCCCTTCTCTCCTCTCCTTTCCTCTCTCTCGGGTTTTGGACTCTGCACCTCCATCAGCTGCATGGCTTTTGTTTATCTTTTCCTGAAGGTTGTCCGGATCAAGGGAGCAGGACAGGGCCTCTGCTTTTCGGGGGTGTCCCTGAGCCACTGGCCGTCATGCCAGATGGGCCGTGTGCCCCGGGCTGCCTTGCGGCTCCCCGTCAAATGGGGGAATGGAATTTTCCCGGGCTGTTAATTAAAGGCTGCGGCATTGCTGCCCTGTTACACACGCCCCTGCAGGATCCGTTCTGCATGATGAGTGGAAAGTTCTACCCACGAGAGGTTCCTGCGCAAGTCTCAGGCTAGTTCGAGGTCAGCCCTGGACAGGATCTTGAGCCAAGGGGTCCGAGGCAGCACGTGACCGTTTCTGAAGTGCCCTGTTCCTTTCCGCCCACCAGATCGACATCCAGATCAAGGATGCGCTGGGGCGGCAGCACCAGTGCGCCACCATTCAGCTGGATTTCCAGATGCCCATCCGGTTCGACCTCTCCTTCACAAGGTGAGCGCTGTTCCCCAGCCACGGGGTGGGGGGGGGGGTCAGGGAGCGCCCTCAGTGCCAAGCGGACGGTTTCCACGTGTCGGTGCCAGGGATCGAACCCCGAAACCTTGCCGTGCAGCACTAGCCTCAAATCCGCTTCGCATTCTACTGTTAACCTGCTCCAACTTGCCCCCCCCGCCGCTGATGTATTGACTACAAATCCAATCATTCCCCACCAGCAAGGCCATTGGGCAGTCTTATAATGGAACCGCTGTCCGTGCGGCACCCTCGTGTCTCTCGGAGCACGCCGCCCCGTCCTCAGCGGCCTGGCCGTGTTGTGACTGGGACGCACTGTGAGAAGCCCGTGGGACAGTGTTGCTTTCCTCAGCTGTGCAGCATCCTGCCTGCCTGCCATGCCGAGTGCCGGGAGAGCAGCTCAGGGGAGGAAGCCCCCACAGAGCTGCATGGCGGTCCCCTCAGCAGCTCCGGCTGATGGTTCCCCTTTTCTCTGCCCATCCCTGGCCAGCCAGCCTGCTTGCTTCCGCCTGGACTTGCGTAACGGTTCCATCTTACCGCAGCACTGGGAAAGAGGAACTCTTGAGGGACGTGCAGGAAAACAAGCTGACGCAGGGCTCACCTGGCTTCTCCATGCCTCCAGCGTGTGGTTCTGAGCCGGGAGGAGGCCTCAGAGTCCAGCCCCCTGTTGGGACAGGCAGCCAGCTTTCTGTGAGGTTCAGCGCCCCCCTTCCTCAGGGTGCCCTCTTTTTTAAAGCTCCCCTTTCCCTGTTTGGGAAAGATGTCTTGGCACTATCCCTCCAGTCCGACTGGAAAGTCGGGCGGGTTCTGAGGATTCACCGCTTCCTGCAGCTGTGCTGAGTGGGCAGGGTCAAGCGGATGGATTGTGGCTCAGGCCAGTGCACCAGGCAGCCGGCTGCAGCCCCGCAGGGCCCCCCTGGGACTGTGCTCCTTTCCCCAGCCAGCTGCTGCCAGTTTCTCGGCTTCTGTGCAGGTCTCCCTGTCCTGAGACACCTCTGCGGAAGTTTAGTGAGTTGCAGAGAGTGCCTGGAACCTGAAGGATCGGTCGCCGTGAGCCAGGTGTTCCCTCCCCAGCGAGACAGACTCTCCAGCCCTTCTCGTGATGTCTTTATTCTGCACAGAACTCTCTGACCATACACAAAGCAAAATGTTGAACCTTCTCTGCCCCCCTTTACCCAAAACTTTGCTTATGAACCCTTCTGGGCCTGTCGCAGGAAGCGGGGGCGCTGTGGAACCGGGCAGGCCTGCGTTCTTCACTCGGAGACCCCAGCTGGGCCACCCGGCAGCTGTGACGATGGACTTTTGGGTCCATCCCCTCAGGAGGCTGGAGGCTCCCCAGCTCCACATCGCCTCCCTCAGAATGTTGTTGCTCTTTATTCCCACGGGGGTGGACCGGACCCCGTCGCTGCCCTCGAAGTAATCTCATTTTACTCGGGTAATCCCAGGCTCAGACGGGTGCTGAGTAATTGGGGTTAACCCTGTCTGTTAGGACAACCATGCCGTTATCAGAGTTCGAGGTCTCAGCCCTGCCTGGCTCCCCCTCCTGCTCAGGCTCAGAGCTGTCAGTTCTACCAAACCAGTCAGCCTCTTGTGCCAGAACACACGGGCACTGCCTCGGGGTCTGGGCTGCCCCCTGCCTTGGGCTTTGCCCACCACCCGAAAGCAGCCTCCAGGAGTTCCGCCTGGCCCGAGTCTGGCCCTCAGCCTGAAAGACACCCAGCACCCCGTTTTAAAAAGATAGAATTAAAAACAGAAAAAATGCAAATCCAACTGCAAATCCACAAAAGTGCAGAAACGCTGACAGGTTCCATCTTCAGCGGCCGCCACACTGCAAGCAGGATAATTATGCTTGGGACTCCCACTTCCTTGGGGCTTTCACAGTATCTTTATGTTCCATGTAAAAACCCAGCCCAGGAACGTGAAGGCAGATCAGGCCACGGGGGCCCGTCTGCTCTGAGCAGCAGCAAATCTTCTGCGTGTCTCCCTTGCAGCAAAGGTGGAGGCGCACCAGAGCGGCCGGTGATGATCCACCGCGCGGTGCTTGGCTCTGTCGAGAGGATGCTGGCCGTGCTGGCGGAGAACTACGGCGGGAGGTGGTGAGTGCCTTTGGGGGGGGGGCGGACGCAATCGAGTGGCTCGGGCAGAGGAGTGAGGAGAGCTGATACTCTCCGTGACCGGTCCTGCCGGTTATACGCTGCCTCCTGTACCGGGGGGGGGGGGGGGACGGTTGCTCCCCGTCCTGCTTGCAGGCGCCTGGTTGCCCACAGGGGCAGGGAGCTGGAGCGGGTGGGCGGCCTGGCCCCGCGGGGTGGGGAGGTTGCAAAAGCCCCCTGCTGTTGAGGGTTTGGGTGCCCGTGTGACAAGGCCTCGCGGGAGGCGCCGTGGCCCTGAAGAGCGGGAGGAGCCAGGAGGCCACGGGGCGATCGCCCGTCGTGGAGGGGAGGAGGCACCGCGGCCCCCCCAGGCGGCCTGGATGTGGCCCCAGCACCCCGAGGCAAAGGACGGGCTTGTCCAGGGTGGGGTCTCGCTCCTGGGGGGCGCCCAGGTTGGTGAGCTTGGCGGCTGAGGAATCTTGGAACGGGAAGGGCGGCGGGAGCCCAGGGCAGATGTCCTCTGGGGTGCCCGCGCGGTGGGCCTGCCAGTCCATGACCTGCCACGTGACCAGGAGACCCAGCGCCGCTCTATTTACGAACCGACTCGAAGCAAAACCCCACGTTTCTTCGGGCTTTTTTCTGTCCCGACAGCCATGAGGTTATGCCTCCCTTCTTTTCAATGCTTGCCATGGCTTTAACTTTATTTCCTTTTTTAATTTCATCTTTCAAGCGTGTTTGCAATTGAAACCTGACTCCGGCAGCCTACGATCAAAGCCGCAGCATTGTTCCCATTTTCGCAGAGAGCTTGCCTAACTTTGAGACAGTTTGAACTGTGACTCAGTTCATTTTTTTTCTTTCGCAGGCAGTTAATTGTAACAATAACAATTACATTAACTTGTTTTTATGAGTGGCTGGTGGATGATTCATACACCCTTTGCAGTGTTGTAACTCAGGGAATATTTTCCAAATAAAGCGAGTCGTACTTCTTTTAACTTTTCCCCATATTTAAAAGTGTGCCCCCCAGCCCCCAAGTGCTGAGCTTGCACTGCCCCCGTGCGCGGACCACGCTGCCCAGGTCCTTGCAAGGGGAAGGAGAGGCCTGGGGCAGTTCCAGGAAACGGGGCAAAATTGGGCTTGGGGGATGTGAGCCTTTCTGAGCACAGGGGCTGGAAGCTGCCCTGCCCAGCGCCGGACGCTTGCCCTGTCTAGCCTGGCACTGGGGACTTGGGCTGGGTGCAGGGGCACTGTAGTCCCTCTCGGGTTGGCCGTGCGTTGTCTCTGGGGCACACGCCACCGTGTTGTCGGGCCCCAGCCAAGGTAACACCCCTCAGTCACAGCCCGACAGTGAGGCATGGATTCTCCTTGTGGGTTGTTCACGGTGAACAAGCCGTGGTTCGTTAGCACCGCTGCATTCAAGCCACAGGGCAACCCATGTTCAGCCTCGAGAAGAGAAGACTGAGGGGGGACATGGTATCCCTCTATAAGTACCTCAAAGGCTGTCACGAACAGGAGGGTCGAGATCTCTCCTCACTGATACTGGCGTGCAGGACACGGAATAATCAAGTCAAGTTGCAGCAGCCCAGGTTCAGGCTGGACATCAGGAAAAGCTTCCTCACGGTCAGAGCAATGCAACAGTGGGACCAGCTGCCTGGAGAGGTGGGGGGCGCTCCCACACTGGAGGCATTCAGAACGAAACTGGGCAGCCCTCTGAGGGGGATGGTGTGACTTGGTGTCCTGCAACAGCAGGGGGTGGACTTGATGGCCTTCTTGGCCCCTCCCAACTCTGCTATTCTGTGATTGACTTTGCAACAAGAGTCCACGTGCTCTGAACCTGGGCACTGCTGGGCAGCCGTGGAGTTATTCCAGCCCTCCTTGAAGGTGCAGCTGGGGGGGGGGGGTCCTCTGTGGGCTGAGTGGGGGCTCTGCCCCCCAGGGCAGGCCACACGAGTCTTTTTCCAAGGAATGGGACTGCAGGAGCAGTGCCATATTGACGGTGCGCTCTGCCTCCTATGCAGGCCCTTCTGGTTGTCCCCGTTCCAGATCATGGTGATCCCCGTTGGCCCAGAAGCAGAAAGCTACGCCCACGAGGTGAGCAGGTGCACGGGCGCTTTGCCCAGTCCGAGGCACACGGTTCTGCTTCCTGAAAATTTCAGCTCATTGTAAAGAGATTCTAGTCCTCATGGCTGGAAAGGGTGTTGTGCCAAATCTTTGGTGAGTTCCCACTGTGGTTGTGGGAAAGGGCTTAGATGCCCCTGTTTTGCCCCCCTTCCCTCTGCAGTCCCAGTGCAAAGGAATCAATGACACCGAAGTGTTGGGGGTTTTTTCCCCAGAAAAACGCCCAGCAGATGAATGCAAAGTGAGGAAATTCTGCTGATTTGGGCAACCTGAAACATGCCGCTTATTGTAGCGAGAAACCTTGATTTCCTTGGTGCAGCATGTTATGTGCATATAGAATCTTACCTTTTTTTTTTTAAGTGACGTAAAGTGGGAAATTCTTTCCTGCCCCAAGCCGTTTGTGGTCATTCGCAACAGGCCCTGCACGCCACCTGTTCTGTTTCAGGTCCAGCAGTGCTTCTCCCAGGCAGGATTCATGGCGGATGTGGACACCAACGTGGGGTCAACCCTCAATCGCAAAATCTGGCACGCCCAGCTGGCACAGTACAACTTCCAGTTTGGTAAGCGGCATCTTTCAGCAGGAGGTTAGGCAGAGAGTTAAGCTGCTGCCCGCAGAGTCGGGCCAGGGATGCTCCCAGCTTTGCATGTGTCCTTGACTCTGGCCGGCAGCAGCTCTCCAGGTATTCGGGAAGGAGGGCCTTTCCTAGCGCTGCCTGGGGGTGCAAGGGCTGGCGGCCGGACCTCCTGCCTGCAGAATCCCTTCTCCGCCACTGCGCAAGGTCATTCCCAAGCCAGCTCGCTGGCCCTTGTAGCACGGCGGTATCTGACCCAGATTAAAGGAACAGGGCACCATGAACCAGGTGGGGATTTTTGCAAGTGAGCCCAGAATCAAGTCTCTAGCCCTTGTGGGTTTCCATGTAGCCTTGAAACTGTGTGTGTGTGTGGCAGGGGGGTGTTGTTTCGTTTTTTTGAAGCCGAGCGTGTGCACAGATCCTCTGTGGACGCTCGCTGTCTGCCTGGTCAAAGGCCACACCCGCCCACCTCTCTCATTTCTGCCCTAGTGGTTGGCAAGAAGGAAATGTCCCGCCGCACTGTGAATGTCCGCAGCCGAGACACCCGCCAGCACGGCGAGCGGCAGTTGCATGAGGTTCTGCACCGGCTCCAGGCGCTCCGGGACACTCGGGCCAGAAACGCAGAGGAGCTCTTCTGAGGCGGGCGCCAGCCCGTGCCCCTCGCTGACGGGGGTGCAGGATGCCCGTGCGGAATCGGTCGGAGCGGGGCAGGTCATCTCGCCGCCGTCTTGTGAGCAGGGGAGAGGGCACTGCTCGTCTGCCTGCCTCACTTCAGGTGATACTTCTCACCGAGGGCACCTTGTCCGCGAAGCTGCTGCAGGAACTTGGCATCTGGGGCCTTCTGTCTCCTGGCTGTCACTCTGCGGATCAAACACTGCCCCGATTCCGCCCCGAAGCCTTCCTGGAACGCCCTCCGGACACCTGGCCTTGCTGAGGTCTCGTTGGCCGAGCAGTTTGGGCAGCGGCAACTGGTCCAGCGCCCCACAAAGGCAGGAGGGGGCCCCTTCTTGGGAACGCTCTTCAAGGAAATGGGTGCTTGGCAGGACGCCGAGCACTCCCTGCCGGCCACCGGCCTGCCTCTCCGGGTCACCGTCCTGCCGATGGAGGCCTGCAATTACAATGCTTTTGTCCGGAGCAGCTGCTGCCCGGCCTCAGGCCGAGGGGCAGCGAGCACCACCTGAGGCCTGGGCCGCTAGGCAGGGCCTGGGTCACTGTCAGGGCAGCCGCTCAGGGTTTTATTTTTTACCTGCGGAAGTTCAAGGTGCACCTGAAACAGCTGCCTTGGGGGCATTCTTGGGCATGTGCGTAGATGGTGCGGGTGATTCAGAGCAACCTGCTCGACGACGAAAGCTGCAAGGCTTCAGCAGGCTCGGAAGGGAGTCTGCCCCCGCACCCGCGTGCACGCCCGGCCTCTGCCTCTGCCTCTGCCTCGTTTATCAGATGCAAACACTCCTCCGAAACAGGGAGATGAGTAACTGCTTGGGACTCCCGCAGCGCCCTTCCCGCCATCGTGGGCTGACCACCTCACCTCTCCCAGGCCTCATTAAACGTGGTTATCCGGCCAGGGTCTCAACAAACATGGCTAAAGCATATTTATTTAATGGCTGCTTTTGAAAGGGAAAAAACCCCACTCCTCGCCCGGAAGAGCTTGCATCTGTTCAGCCAATCACATGGCAGGTCCACAGTCCAAACAGACACGGTGCGTGAGGAAGAGGAATGGGGAGGAAGAGGAGGAGTTGGCAGGGCCGCTCCGTGCCGGGCTGCCTGATCCCTCGGTCTGATTTAAAAGAATTCGAAGTTGCTGCTTCTACAACACTCGAGAGGGGGCGGGGGAGGGAGCTGCACTTTTGGGGTTTGAAAAGGGCGGATTTGGGGCCACGTTGGTAAACTACCCAGGCCTGGTCCTGTGTGGCTTTAAACCCACCAGTAAACTTCATTAGTGGTGTGCCTGCTCGATCGTTGCTCAGCGTGGCTTCCCAAGCTGAAGGGGGATTTCCTGGGGCTCGGAGGACTTGCTCGGGACCGCTGCAGGCTTTGCTCATGGCTGGGCTGCTGTCGTGAAATGTTCGGGCAGGGAGTCTGCCGTGCGGAGGTGCCAAGTCTTTGGCTTGGCCCTGTCGCCACCAAGGCGCCCTTAGCTCAGCATGTACGGCTTGTTAGCTAACAAAGCGCGTATGCTTTGTCACGGCAGGGCTGACTCAGGGGGGCTGTTGCAAGATCGCGGTGACTTTCTTTGGAAGGATTCAGCCACCAAGCACACAAAGCCGGAAGTTGCATTTCGGGGGAAACGCAGAACAGTCTCGCCCAGTCAGCACCCCGGTCCACCTGCCCAGGTGTGGGCCAAGAGCTTCGTTCCTAGCAGCCCCCTGCAGCTTCAGCTCCTTTTACACGGACATGCCATAGGCTGGGCTTGGATCCAGCTGATCGGAGACACAAGTTGTGTTCTTCCCAGTTTGAACAACTGCCCCAAAGAAGCCCTTGAGAGCAAAAGCTGGAAAAACCAGTGCACTTTCTCACTGGTTTTCTGTGTTGTGGCTAGACAGCGCGTCTCCAGGTGCAGCGTGCCTTTGGCTCACCACCGAGTTGTGTCTGGCTACTCCTCGTCCTTGCATTCTACTTCTCCACAAACGTTGGCACCTGCCAAGTCCCCCCCCCCCCCGTAGAACTGAAACATTCCTTTTTGATGACAACCCAGGCGTGTGTGTGTGGGGGGGGGATTGGTCTTGTTAACTATGAGGGGAGCGGGTGGGGGGAGGTCCTGAGGTCCCTCTTGGAATTCATTTCTACTGCAGGTTGGGGAAAACCTGTTTGAAAGGACCTTACCTGTGTGTGTGCGAGCGAGCGAGATTAAGAGCTTTTTAAGTCTGCCTGGCTAATTGAACTCTGGCTACAGCCAGAGGCAAGGGGTGGCACTGCCCAAGCAGCACCTCCCCGCCCCCCCCCCGCCCCAAGTTTATCACTGTAATGTGAGAAGGAAGGTGAGGGATGGGGACCTGACTGAGTAGCCAGGTGCTTTCTGCCCATGTTTGGAAGGATGCTGGGATTGCTTGGCACTGAGGTGAAGACGGCGGAATTACAGCAGCTGTAGGCCCGCCGCTGCGCTTAGGCGGTGAGAGAGGAGCACCCCACAGCTGCTCGCCTCGGGTGCCCTGAAACGGAGCTTAGCCATGGCACCCCGAGTTTTATCAGGGGAACTGGCTCTTGGGGGAGCTCCTGCTTTGGGCGTTCTTGGTTCGTCGCAGCTGCCAGACAGCAAATGATGGGGACCAGCCCTGAACAGTGGAGAAGATGACATGGCTTGCAGTGCAATCGTGTGAGGATTCGCCCTTGATTGCCCAGCCCAATCGGAGCATCGTGTTTCTTGTTCTGTTCCTTGGATAAATAAATGCAGAAGCGTTGCCAGTGCCCAGTAGCTGAAGCTCTCTGTGTCTCCCCGGCCTCTTCCCAGCGAGGAAGAGAAGAGCGCTGGCAGATGCCCTCTGGCGCGTTGGGCGTTGGATGCGGCTCTTGTCCGTCCACCTTGATGTTCATTGGTCGCCATTTTGTGGGGTTCCCTCATTTACATGGGCCACCTCGCCATGTGGGCTTACTTGGCGTGGGCAGCTGGTGGCCCCCTGGCGTTTTGGGGTGCAAACAGTCATGTCTGCTTCGGCTGAACTGCCATTTGCTGCCTGTCTCCACTGGTCGGACCCCAGGATTCTAGTGAAAATTGCCAGGGAACTTCTCCCCAAACTGTTCTCATTCCCAGCTCCCCACCAGCTTGGATGGCCAAGCGCCAGGCCAGGCCCGCCCTTCAAGCTCCTTCGCTTGGGTCTCGAGGGGCTCCCCGTCTCTGCTCTGGCGAGTTGCAGGCTGCCTGGGAATCCGGCCCCAGACTCTGCCTGGCAGCTGAGTCCACTGCCTCTCGTTCGCGCTCCGAAGAGGTGCTCTTGCAGCTGGCACAGTACAAAATTTCAAGAAGTTAGTCGGGGGGGTTGGCTGGGGAGGAGAACAGAAGGCTCTCGGCACTTAGTCCACTGTCCCCGTTGTGTGAGAGTGGGCCGTGGTTCTCGGTGCCTCCTTCCTGGCCTGCCAGCTCTCGATATTTTGCACTTGTCTAGGATGGGAGTAGACCTCCCTGGGATCTGATCTGATCTGATCTGATCTGATCTGATTTCTTTTCTTTTCTTTTCTTTTCTTTTTTCTTGGGAAGTGTATTTCTCAAGCAGTTTGCGCACCAAGAGTCAGCTTGCGCAACAGGCCTCTCCCCACCCACCGCTCCGCTTCTCCGGGGAGTGGGGAATGCCCGTGTGCGGAAAGGGTGGCTTGGGCACCCCTTGTGCAATCCACTCCCCTCGTCTGGGGTGGCGGCGGTGGTGAAGCCGCTGTGGCATCGTGCCTTGTGCAATTCTGCCTCTGGCAGCGCTTGCACGTCCTCCAGCCACACGCTTCTCGGGTGGGAAGCGGGCCAGCACCGCTGGCGCCTCTGACTGCCCCTGGGGTGGGGGGCTTGGGGCCACAGCTCTGAGTTGCGCGCTGCTCCAGGCCGTCAGATCAGGGGGCGAAAGGCCGGGCAGCGGTCAGGGCATCTCCTGGCGAGGTGTGGACCTGGGCACTGCTTCCCTGCTCCAGGGCTGGGGGACCGTTTGGATGGTGCACGCCAGGGCTCCCAGGGGAATCCAGTGGATTTCTGGGTTGCTTGTGTGGGATTCCCAGCAGATAGAGCTGCTCCTCCAGCCAAGGTCCCATCCTCACTGAAGGGCAGTGAGATGCAGAGGCCGGGAGCTGCATCGCATCCAAGTGAAGCCCTGGGGAGGCCATCTGGCTTGGTCGGTGAGGGTTGGCCAGAGTGTTGGCCAGAGTGCAGATGGCGTGGGAAGGCAGGCAGATGGCGGCTCTCCCTCGCACTGGGCGGCGGAGCTGGTCCTGCTTTGCCGGTGGAGTGATTTAAGTGCTGGGCCGTGATGGCTGGCTGGGCTCAGGCACGCTGACAGTTAAGCTCCCCCGTGCTCTTCTCCCCTGTGCATGACGTTTCAAGGCCCTCAATAGCTTTGCACAGGTTTTTAAATAGTTTTCAACCTGGACTGCAAGCCCTCTGGGATCCATGCCAGGCCAACGCATGGCGCACACACGTTTGCGCGAGTGAATAAAGGCGCAACCTCCTGCCAGCAACGTTCGGTTCCGGAGCAGCACGGCGAGTGCCTCTTTCCCAGAAGGAGACAGGGCGAGCCGCCCCCCGGCCATCTTCCCGGTTCCACCTGCATCCCATTCCTGGCAGAGGCCTCTGGGAAGCCTGCAGAATGAGGCGCAGCAGCCAAACCAGCCAGTAGCCCTCCTTAGCCGTGGGGCAGTCACCCACGCTCTGGCACCCTCCTGCTCGCGTTGCTGAAACGGCTTCTGAAGCTGGGATGGGCTTCAGAGGCCGCCTAACGATGGGAAACGGGGCTTGGTCACTGCCCAGCAAGTACACTGAGGATATAAGAGACATTGCGCTATCGTGGGGCCAGCAGTGAAACCCCCCGCCTCCGATAACCACCCAGTGGCTTGTTGTCAACAGGGGTAGATCGATGTTACCAGGTAGGATTGTGTGAGCAGGAGGGGGTCTCCACAGCAACGTCAGGACAGCGTGCATCCGAGTCGTTTTCCCTGAGAAGCACAACCGGAGCTGGGGAGAGGCGGGAATCCAAGGGACGGCACCTTTCGCAGGTGGCCGTCTCCATTTCTGGCAGCAGGCATGTGCTGGGGCGGGAGGGGGCAAATTCAGTTGCAGGTGCTTGGAATTTGCTGGCGTTGAGGATAAAGGCCAGGCGTGTTGTTGACTTCACGCTACGTGCTGATGAAATGTCCCTTTCCGCTTGGCTGTGGCGGGACTGATTGGCACCCGAGTCCGTGCCACTTCGTTGGGCGCTGGGAGGTCCCCTTGGCCAGCGTCCGTGTGCAGCAGGGGATGCTTCCTTATTCCTGAAGCGTGATGCCGCAGTGACTGTTTTGGGTGTAAAGCACACTTGAGTCTCCCTTTCTGTGTCAAAAACACAGGGACAGTGAGGTCTTTTGTTCCTTTGCTGTTATTCATTCCTGCACTTGATGTTTCATCTGAAGGAGCCTAGCAAACATTGCAACAGTGTTTTGCTTGGAAAAGGATGAGGCATTTCAAAAGACAGCAGTTCCCCTAGTTACCTCCTCATCTTCCTGTAAACATTCCTTTACCTTTGATGAGATAAAACTGCTTCCTCTTTTATAGTTTCGGGGATCAGATAAACCCCTGACTAATATTCTCGGGGGCCAACTAGACCTGGTGAGGAAAGGTGAGCCAGCCCACTTGAACCTCCATAATGGCCTTACCGGCACTTGTCTGAACCTGGAGGAAACTCCCTTGAATTTGTCCACCTGGGCAGCCTCACCTGGCATGCAGGTTCTGCTGCTGGTGCGGTCCAAGAAAAGGTGGCCAAGGTGCCCGGGACCCGCCCTGCTGGATGAGTCTGTGGCAGCGGCCTGTGGGCCCAGCGGCTGAGGGGGCACGGAATCGGCAGTGCAGGCCCTGCTGTGGGTGCTGAGTCCCACTGGGGTGGCCACCTAGGGTCTCCGTAGGGCTGTGGAA